GGGGCTGCTCACACTGGAACTGCTTACTTTGGGGTTGCTCACACTGGGATGTATCTGCTCATGTTCACACTCCTCACCCTGGGGTTGCTCACACTGGTGTTTCGCTGGTGTTACTCACACTAGGGTGGCTCACTTTAACACTGCTTGTGCAGGTATTCATACTGGGCTTCTCATACAGGGCCTGCTTACATTGGCTTTCTGTCTTTATTTTGAAGCTTTCTGTAAGTTAAATTGTTTTGCATTTTTCTTTTTAAACAACAAAACAGGTCATTGTCTTCATGAAATATTTTTGCTCAGAGAAGGGATGTTTGAGCGGATTCCTGATATAGTTGTATGGCCAAGTAAGTTGTTTTAACTCTTTGTATCATTTTAGTATAGTTTGTTTCTCTGAAGAATTTATTTAGTTTTAATATGAATTAAATGAAGGTAATGAAACCTAGTTTTTCTTTGCATGAGGGAAAAGTTTGAAAGAACATTGTAGTTTGCAACAATGCATTTTGAGGCATTCTGTCATCTTAGTTCCAGATGTGGAGATAGTTGTTTTCTTTTGTAGTTTAGAGTTTCACACAAGTGGAGGAATGCATACTTATCTATGAAATCTATTGTAGTTGTCTTTAAGGATTTTAATTATATGGAACGTGCCTGATTTGAGGTCCATCTTTCAGGCAGGACCCTTTACCACTGTGACTGTCAAATAGTGTGGCTGTCTTTTGTTTCCTTGCACTCATGTAGACTATATTGCCACTGGTGTGTATGTATGTTAAAGTCAAAATTTCTACTAGCAAAATTAACTTAGTATGCTAGTGAGAATCCTCAGAAGATAGTGATACTTGCTTTATAAGCCCAACAACCTGAGTTTCATCCCTTGAATTTGGTCCTTGAAACCTACATATAGGTGGAGAGAGAACCAACTCCACAAAATTGTCCTCTGACTTCACAAATGTGCTTCCTATCATGTACACATGCACCACTAGCACTAACAATATTATTATTTTTGTTGTTGTTATTATTGTTATTTTAATTGAGGCTAGAGAGAAGGCTCATGGCTTAAAAACACTGATTGCTCTTCCAGAGGACCCAGGCTGTATTCCCAGCATCCACAACCATCTGTTAACTCTAGTTTCAGGAAATCAAACATGTCTTCTGGTGTCTGTGGGCACTGTATAAACAAGTTATATGGACATACACACAGGCAAAACCCTCAATACACATAAAATAAAATTGAAAATTAAGAAAAAAAGTAATCTCACTTGAGCTGGGTGTCATGTATTCTTGTAATCTTATCATCTGGATGGCAGAGGCAGAGGGGTCAGGAGTTCCAGGTCATCTTTGGCTATGCTGTGAGTTTAAAATCAGCCTATTTCAAAAAGCCAAATCCCAAAGCAAATTCTCCACGTAGTTAGTCTTTATGCATCATCAGTGTGCTACATACCAAATTATGAACACCTCAGCTAGGTACTGAGGATAAGAAGTTGAGAAAGAAAACCCCTGTTCTCAAGTGCAATGAGATTTAGTGAGGGAGCACAAAAAAAGTATATAATATATTGGATAGTGCTAACCATTAGAGAGAAATACAAAGACGATACTGTATAGGGTGGGTGGTGGCAGGAGGGAGTGGTTTCTGATAGCACAGTCAAGGAAGACTCTTAAATAAGTTAGTTACAGTCATAGAATCCATTTGTTGTAACATTTTTTAACAGATACTCTTCTGGTGTTTCTTTAATTATTCTTAGTCTACCTCTCTGTGTCTGTCTGTCTGTCTGTCTGTCTCTCCCTCCCTCCCTCCCTCCCCATGTGTGTATAATTAGAGAGAGAGAGAGAGAGAGAGAGAGAGAGAGAGAGAGAGAGAGAGAGAGTGTATGTGTGTGTGTGTGTGTATACCTGTGTACATCCATGCAGAAACCAGAGCAGGACCATTGGGGATCTTTCTGTCTCTTTCCCTTATTGCCTTAAGAGAAGGTTTCTTTTTTTTTTTTGGTTTCGAGACAAGGTTTCTCTGTGTAGCCCTGGCTGTCCTGGAACTCACTCTGTAGACCAGGTTGGCCTCGAACTCAGAAATCCGCCTGCCTCTGCCTCCCTAGTGCTGGGATTCAAGGCGTGAGCTACCACCACCTGGCTAAGAGAAGGTTTCTCATTGAACCAGAAACTCAACATTTTTGCTAGGCATGCTGGTTACTGAGCTCTTGGATCCATCTACCCTTGCCTCCCATCCTCCCAGTGCTGCAGTTATAAGTGTGCATCCATACCTGGCTTTTTACGTAGGTGCTGGGGAATTGATCTTAGGTCCTTATGATTGCAAAGCAAGTGCTAGTATTCATGGAGCCACTTCATAACCATTGTCTATTTTACACTACCAGCAGTAAGCTTTATAGGTTTAATCTGAAAGCCTAAAAATAAATTTGATTAAAACTTTCAGCGAGCCTGCAGTTTCTTGGTAGAGTATGTCTTTAGCATATGCAAGGTCTCAGGTTTAATCTCCATCAAATCACTCTACCCCGGAGTGGAACTATATACAAAGGCTAAGTATTTACAGCTTTATGCAAGCTGAGATAGTCAAAACATTTGTAAAACAAGTTCTGTGCTTATGTAAATATGTATCAATTTGTTTTTCCTAAAACTCTTTTTTCTCTTTTAGGATAATACTCTTTTAGCAGTTAATAGTACAATTTTTTAGTTTCCTTGCCTCAAAACTTTGTCTTCCATGTGATGCAAGTTAAGTAATCCCTGCCATGTTGCTTCCTCCTGTCCCCTTCATGTCCTAGTGCCAAAGACAGCTGGAGTAGGACCATCTTACTTGACATACACTCTTCCTCAGTTAGAGTTCGTTATTTAGATAGCTCTAGTTATATACAAAGGAAAAGAATTTGTGTGCTACTCTAGTTTGTGTAAGATTTTACTTTTTTTTTTTTGGAATTAAGAAACAGAAGTGCTAAAATTAATGGGTGAAAATATGTGAAATATGTTGTTTGCATAGTTTGAATATTGGTATATTTTTAAACAGGAAATAAAACATCCTTCCAGTAGGGTACCTAGCTGACAGTACCTACCTAACCAAAGTTAAGATTATGAAAAATGAGACATGTTTTTGGCTATACTGTGCTAAGAAAGGCAGAGCACCACTACTGTGAGGTGCTTACCAACTGTTTAGTCTCTGTTTAATCTTAGGGAAATAAACTAAGAGCTTTGTTTGAAATAACTGCCTAAAGTTCCTCAGAAGTGTCATTGACATGAAAGTCAAAGAATCAATGTGTGATTTCAGGTTTGACTCTGGTCCAAAAAGGGATGTTAGTGGAATATTAGAGGAAGGACTATAGATTGTTTTGTCTATGTTATTTGATGGTTTTCGATAATTAGATCTTCCTTGTATGAGATGTTAATGTTTGGGAATGTGGCATGAAGTACATTTGTAATACTTTTTCTTAAGTCTGAATTGTTAAAAAGAATCTTGTTTACAGCCATTTAACATGGTATGAGTAAGTAAGGAAAAGTTAGGTGTTTAAGAGCTTTACTGTCCTTTAGTTTGTAATAATATGCAGATTTTATTTATGTACTTATAGTTAATATATTTTTCTTTTTCAACAGCATGTCATGATGATGTAGTTAAGATTGTGAATCTAGCGTGCAAATATAACCTTTGTATCATACCAATTGGTGGTAAGTATTGTGTTCTTCAATTTTATTATGATTAAATTTGTCCTATTTAAAATATTTGTATTTTTATTTATATGTACTTGAAAACAAGCATTTTGTGATTATAATATAGTAAATGTAAAAACTGGTTTACATGATCCTTTGTATTGTAAATACTAAGCTGCTTGAGATGTTGTTTACCTCTAATTCATGTCTTTTTTTCTGTATGAGTCATAGGTAAAGATGGTTTTTAATGCTAAATAAGAAAATGTTCATTTAGTAATTAACTTTTTAATCTGTATGTATGTGGGGATCCTTTTAGTTTTTCCAGGCACCCAGTGTCATCTCTGGAGGAGCCGAATGATCGTAGAACACCTAAGAGAATTAAAAGTTCACTAGTACAGTGATGGCTAGTCAGTGCCTCCGACTATGAAAAGCTAGCATTATTTTTAATCATAAACTAAGTTGATCTTTGAGTTTTTGTTGTTGACTGCATGATTTTAATAAGCCAAAGGAAATTACCTTCACTTTTATTTTAAGATGTAGTTATTATATTTATTTTATTTTTTTAAAGATTTATTTATTTAATTATATATGAATACACTGTAGCTGTCTTCAGTCACACCAGAAGAGGGCATCAGATCTCATTACAGATGGTTGTGAGCCACCATGTGGTTGCTGGGATTTGAACTCAGGACCTCTGGAAGTGCAGTCAGTGCTCTTAACCACTGAGCCATCTCTCCAGCCTGTAGTTATTATATTTAGATGACTACACTGTAGCTGTTTTCAGACACACCAGAAGAGAGCATCATATTCTTTTACAGATGGTTGTGAGCCACCATGTGGTTGCTGGGGATTGAACTCAGGACCTCTGGAAGAGCAGTCAATGCTCTTAACCACTGAGCCATCTCTCCAGCCCCCAAGATTTATTTATTTTATATATGTGAGTACACTGTCACTGTCTTCAGACACACCAGAAGAGGGCATCAGATCCTGCTACAGATAGTTGTGAACCACCATGTGGTTGCTGGGAATTGAACTCAGGACCTTTGAAAGAATAGTCAGTACTTTTAACCGCTGAGCCATCTCTCTAGCCCCTAACCTTCACTTACTGTGTTGGCATTGGTGAATATAGATCTCAGTAACTCTAGGAGTCTCAGACTTTCTCTCTAACTGATACTTCCCTTTAGTTAGTGTACAAAGGCACCACAGTGCCACTTACTGTGATTTTTTTCTTTTATTGAAAATGATGTTATAAGCAAGTGGTGGTTTCCAACCACAGGTACTTGCACTTGCAATTGGCAATCTTACCTGGTGAAATTAAGTTGATGTATATAGATTACTTCTTTTCAGAGTTGAATTCCAGAAGTTTCTTTTCCACATAGACTGTATGGAAATAGCAATTAAATTTTTATATTGATATGGGATGATTGTAGTTAAAAACTTAAAATATTTTATTCTTTGTTAAGACATTTATCCTATGACAAATTATGTTAAGAAGTAGGAGCATATTGTTTAAATACTTCAACATATTACTTAGCCTATTTTACCATAACTTTTCACTAACGAATATGAAAATTTGCTTTTCAAAAGTATGATCTGGGCATTTAGTTTTTTTTTTATTTGAATTTATTAAAGCTTTTTGCATAAGACTGTTACTTTAATAGAAAGACAATCATGTAATTATGGTAGGAAGAAGTTGATGGTACGTTTAGTTGTTCAGGTCTTGTCTTTTTTCTTTTAAGCTTCCTCTTCACAGTGATCATTAGCTTAGATCTTTGCTAATTATGTTTTTGGAGTTCTACAAATTGCTAGGGCTTTCCATGAGTGTGTGATATCCAGGGATGGAGCCATAGCCCATTGATTTCAGTTCCATAGTAGTCTGCATTTGGCATTCAGCATAAAATAAAGGTGAGTTTGTCTTCAGTGTGTTAGCTTTTGCAAAGCAGAAATAGGTGTCAGCACTAGCAGGCCCATTTGTGTTCTATGTACTAGGAATTTGTTCCAGAAATGTAACAGGAGCAAAATATTTAAACATAAAGTTTTTGTTTCCTGTTTTGACAGGAGGAACAAGTGTGTCCTATGGCTTGATGTGTCCTGCAGATGAGACAAGAACAATAATTTCTTTGGACACTTCACAAATGGTATATGATGATATTCTTTCTAATTATGTTTTCTGTTTAAACATTGTTTTCTTAGTACTGTATTTTAGCTGCATGTTCAGGTGATCAAAAGCTAAGTTTCCTTGTTCTGTAGTGCTAAGTCAGCATGTAAATTGATCATTTGAGAAGCATGATTGTAAAGCTTGAGACAGTGGATAACTTGATGTCTGTTATTGTAAAAATAATTATTAGTTATAATGTGAATTTGAGTAATGTGTACTTACTTGCCTCCCAGACTTAAATGGATGCGTTTGCACTTGCTGTGGATGGGTGGAAGAGCTCTTGTCCTTACAGGGTTTGAGAGCTGTACCATGCTAAGGTTTTAACCTAGATTGAATTTTACCTTCATACATTAGTGGTAGTCCCACGTAGCAACTTTGTGTGAGTTTTTTAATTTGAATTTTCTTTGAACAGCAAGGTAGAGGTAACTGTGCCTATGCCCAGAGTGAGCAGCTATCAATCCTTCATTACATTTGTTCTCTTTTATTTTCTAGAACTTTTAAAAACAAATCTTTTTTTTTTTTTTTTTTTTTTTGAGACAGGGTTTCTCTGTGTAGTTCTGGCTGGCCTCGAACTCAGAAATCAGCCTGTCTCTGCCTCTCAAGTGCTGGGATTAAAGGCGTGTGCCACCACCACCTGGCTAAAAACAAATCTTGATGTGGTACTTTGTACCTATTTTGTCTGTTTCTTTTTTAAAAAGGTCTTTTTCTCATTTAACTACTGTATTTTTATCACTCTTGTCAAGTCAAAATCATTTTTCTTATGCTAATTTATGTAGTCTACACTTATTTTTAAAGGTATCTTTATGATAGTCGATTAGTTCTAATGGAACTCTAGAAAAGGGCCTTGTTAACTTTGATGTTTCTCTTTAGGTCTCATTTTATCTGAACATGTACTTTCCTTCTTCCCAACATGACTGACTTTGAAGAGACTAAGTTATTTGTAGTATGGAATGGCACACTGCTCTTCCTTGGTGTCCTTTGACTATTTTTCTAGGCCTTGGATATATAATCTAGTAGATTTCTTCCTCCTTTCTTCTTGCCTCCCCTCTTTCCCTTTCTTCGTGCTTCCCTCTCCTCCACAGAAAGCTTATCTTATAGATAGATATGGCAGTGTGTTCTTTAAAATACACTTAATTTTATTTAAAAATCAACACATAAAATTGTGTATGCTTTTGGCTTACCATTTTGATACATGTTCTTGTATCCTTTGTGGTGCCAAAGATAACCTTGAACTCCTGACTCTACTATCTCTACTTTCCAAGTGCTGACATACAGGTGTGTCTCATCATGCCTAGTTTTATGTTGTACTAGAGATTGATCTTCGTGTGGAGACAAGCTACATCCTCAGCCCCTGTTGTTCTGTTGTCTTGAGTTGTGTAGTACATACTGGATGTAGCATAGGTATATATTTTTCCCTTAAGTTTTTCTATCAAAAAGATGTTTCAACCTCAGTGGGTGCAAGACATATGTTAATACAAGTATGTAATTACCTCAAGAGCCAGTCTATTGATGCATACAGTGTATCTAAATTATTATCTGAGATTCCATCAAATTATTAAATTCTTTGTCTTTTATTCTACAGTTAAATGCTGTGGTTTTAGCTGGTATAAGACCCAAAGGTTGACTGTGTTATAGTTATATTGAAATTGCTATTGTCTTGTAGTGTAATTCTGTTTTATATACTAAAGCAAAATACATTAATATGTATTAATGCTTACTATACTCTATAAAGCAATTATTTATGTGTGTTAAATTTTAGAATTTTTGTATTTTAGAATTTAGGCAGTCTACTAATTTTGTATTGTCTTTTGCATTTTTCCGCTTCGTTTTTAACTAAGTTTATGTTATTATTAAGAAATGGAATATGTCAAACATACAAATACAACTTCCTTGGTATTCAAAAGAAGATACACATATGTAATATGTATATGAGTATGGTTAACTAAAAATGCTACTGCCGGGCAGTGGTAGCGCACACCTTTAATCCCAGCACTTGGGAGGCAGAGGCAGGCAGATTTCTGAGTTCGAGGCCAGCCTGGTCTACAGAGTGAGTTCCAGGGCTACACAGAGAAACCCTGTCTTCGGAAAAAAAAAACAAAAAAAACAAAAACACAAAACGCCAGGAAAAACATTTTATTGATAGTTATTTAGTAAGTGCAGTTATTCCAGAAAGTATCCAGTCCCTCTTTCTGTTCCTGTGAGACAGGAACAAGATCTTATGTTGCCCAGGCTGACTTCAAGCTTACTGGGTAATTGAGGATGACGTTGAACTCCTGACCCCCCGCCTGCATCTCTGGAAATGGAGGTGTGTACCACCATCTTAGCTCAGTTCCTGTTTTGGAGCATGAGGCAGGAATTTGTTTTATTTTCTACACATATTTCTGTTTTTTTTTTTTTTTCCTTGGGATTTTTTTTTTTAAGTACAGAGATGCCATGAATTATATTTAAATATCTTAGCAGTTTTTTTTCTGTCCTATTTTCTGATTCTTAGACATGATTGTTATGTTAACTGTAATGCAAGTAGATGTTTCCTGTATACTGTTTTCTATGTGGAGTATCTTATTTATTCCTTTAGCAACTCTGTTATTATACATCGCTACTGTCTACATTTTACAAATGAGGACGCACTAACACTAGATAGTTACTAGATAGCTAAGCAATGGCATTTGGCTTAATGTCAGCACAAAGAGGAGTGTATGTTTCTGTCCAGTGTAGCGTATTGTACTGCTCTTGTTGCAGTGTCATGGTGTGGAGTAAGGAAAAGGGGGGTTACTTTCCTTACTTCTGATTACTACCTTGTTACTGAAGCTTTGAATTTGGAACTTAGGTATTTCCTAAGAAAATGTTAATGGCTCAAAGGAATGAGACTTCCTTTTCTTTGTAACAGAACCGGATTCTCTGGGTTGATGAGAACAATCTGACAGCTCACGTAGAAGCTGGAATAACAGGACAAGATTTGGAAAGACAGGTATGTTATCTCTTTAATTAAGCTTTTCCAAACAGTGGTATTCTGTGTCTGAAGGAATTACCTTTCAACAATATATTGTTCATTCAGTAAATTTGCTCAGTTTCTGTTGTAGGCTGAACTGAGAGTACAGTAGTGAATGAGACACGATCTCCTACCCTCAGGGGCCTTATATTGGGATAGAAAATTGGAGAAATAGACAATGGATGATTCAGGCTAAGTAAGACTAAGTTTAGTGTGTTTGTGTCATCAAAAGGGGACAGGTAGGAAGGACGTGGACAATTATATACATAGAAGCTTGACATTTAAAATGAGACTTTAATAGAAGGGAATGAATAAGAACAAATTATATATGAAAATGCCATAATGAAATTCATTATTTGGCACAATAACTTTAAAAATAAGATAAAATGAGACTCGAGAATGAGTCAGAGTTAGGAGAGAGGGGTTCAGGTGCAGATAACAGTCCTGTGGAAGGAGTGTGTACAGGAGCTTTAAGGGTGGCATTTTTTTTTGGAACCCTTAATCTTTCTACTCTTTCTCAGTATTTAATGTTTTTAAAGTTTCTGTTTATGGATTCTAAGCAGGCAATTGCTAAAATGAATTGATTCTTGGGGGGTTGGAGAGATGGCTCAGAGTTTAAGAGCACTAACTGGTATTCCAGAGGATCTGGGTTTAATTTTCAGCAGCAGTGTGGCAGCTCACAACCCTCTGCAACTTCAGTTCTAGTGAATCCATCACCCTTTCCTGGCATCCATGGACATTGCATGCATGTGGTGTGCACACATACCTGTAACAAAACACCCATATTCATAAAAATAAGAATTTAAAAAAATTGTAAAAATTGATTTTTAAACTTCTCAAATATGGTCAAGATGGTTGTAATCCAGTTTTTATAATCAAAAGTTAGGAGTTGTGATTTGTTGGTTGACACACCAGTCACTTTATGTTCAAACTAGACTATAGAGTAGTTTGTCCCTGAATCTTTTTAATAAGACACAGACAATGTGTAGTTGTTGATTGTATTTTTATTTTCTTTCCCTATTTTTTGAGATGTTTAAAATTGGCCTACTTATTACTGATGCTTGAAAAATTTCTTACGATACTGAGAAAGGTTTTTGAAATATTAATAGTTTCACTTATTAGTAGTTTTTGTGAAATTGTACATGGAAGACTTTAGCAGACAGCAAATACCGACAGCTGCTCAACTGAGGCCGCTTACTTACCCTTCATGGGTAAAAAGAAATTATACTTGCTTAAAATTGTTGAAGAATTGTCAGAGATCTTCAAACAGGTCAAGACTTTATATAGTGAACATAAAGGACATGTTTGAATTTTGATAGTCAATGAAAGACATCTAAAAGGACCTGGATTAGTTCACCATTAACTTGAATGAGAGACGTTATTGGCAGCTATTTTCTTTAATAACAAAGAATGGCCTTTTGGGCTTCCAGTTTTATATCCTTTATTATAGCATTTGATGTAGTATTTTAACCTTTCCAAGTTTTCCTTCTTTTTTTTTTAAGATTAGAAGTAAAATTCAAGGAACATGTCTTGTTGGAATTTAAGTGATATTTCCTCCAGGAGGTGCTTCTGAGATTTCACCTGCTAGTTGGTGTCTCACTGACACAGAAGCACCCAGGCGTGCAGTGGCTGCTGCAGGCTGGCAGCTGTCTATGAGATCACTCCTCCTCAGACTCCGTGTCCTTATTTATACTGCAGATGCGACAGCCAGCTTAAACTGTCTGTTCATTCCTCAGAGAAGGTTTAAAATGACACAAACACAGGCTGAGTAGCAGATATTAATCTCTAGCTTCTAAATCACACTGGAGTTTAGTATGCTTAAATGTTAAGGCGTGTCACTTACATGCCAGTTACAGATTTCAGAATTTCTTTAGGGGTTTATTACATCTTTGGTGACTTTTTAATTTAATAATCTGAGGATATGTGAGCTTATTTTTTTTTTCAGAGATAGCATCATTAATAATTTCAGTTTCTTGTTTTGTTCTTGTTTCAAGTAGCCACTAGTCCTTCCTGTAAATTTCAAATTTAGATCTTAGCTGTGTGACCTCTGGCAGGTTACTAACGTTTTTGCATCAAATGCATCTGTTGCAGCAGCCACTGCAGGCACGGGTGCTTCTGTGTCAGTGAGAGAAATGGTGATGATAGTGCCTCTCAAGGTTTCTGCTACAACAGAGGACATTAATAATGTAACTAACACATTTAGAACTTTGTCCCATTAATTTCTATCAAACATTATTTACTTCATTCAGGTACACTAAACTTTATTCCTTTCATAGCTGAAGATTTCCAAACTTATCCTCAGTGTGGATTTTTTTCCTGAAGGGTAGTTAATCATATCCAGTTCCTGGCTGTTCTCTTTCCTTGCTTGTCTAACAGAAGTTGCAAACTCAGCAGTATAAAAGCTGAAGTTGGGATGAAATTTGCAGTGGTCTCTCAAATATCGATTATTTTGTAGCCCCCTACCCCATCTGTGTTACATCTTTCTGACTTCATACTTCCCATATCCAAGGCCCAATGCACAGAAACTGTTCTTCCAATAAACTCCCTTTCCAACATGGCTGCTAAACTTGGAGAATCAGCATTACAAGACTCTTTAATTATCACAGAACATTGATAAATCATAATTATAAACAACAAATACGTGTCACATGTTCAATCATAGTATGGATCATTTTGTATATGGCTTATTTTCTAACTGATATTATATTATACTATATAGGGCTAGACTGCCATCTTTCAAATTAGAGAAGTTTAAGTCTGAAGTTTCATAAACTTGAATGTTTATTAAAGTTTTAGGAATAGTGTCATAGCAGTCTGGCCGCCTGTGCTGGCTAGTTTTATGTCCAGTTGACATAGACAAGAGTTGTTTGAGAGATGAGAACCTTATTTGAGAAAATGTCTCCATAAACTCAGGTTGTAGGCAAGCCTGCAGGGCAATTTCTTAATTAGTGGTTGATGGTTGAGAGCCCAGCCCATTGTAGATGGTGCTACCTCTGGCCTGGTGGTCCGGGGGTCTATATGAGCAAGCCAATAAGCTTTTTGAATTGTGAGTCATATATTTTTTGTTTTATTTTTCTAATGGTTTCAGTAAGATGTAGGTATCATAGAATAAGTTGCTGTCATTTAAAGTGTACAATTTGACACTGAATGTTCCTGAAGCACCAACACCATCAAGGTGACAAGACAAACCCCTGCTTAGTTGCTAATATATCTTAGGGATTCATGAATTTTTTCTTCTAATTTAATAAAATTGAGAAAGTAATGTCAATATAGATTGACAATGGAACTAAGGAAGACATGTAATACATTGGTAATTTTCATTTTAATCTTGCTTATTTGTCATTGGTTATTAACCTCTTAAATATATTGAGTATTTAGTGAAAAAAGTAACAATTGATGTTCTTTCAATTCTGTCTTCCTAGAAGCAAAATTAGAAAATATAATTTGCATTGATGGCATGTGAATCTAACAATTTATATTTAAGGTTGTGAATTACAACTTTCACGCCGTACTTATACTTTGATACATGGGTACAAACATTGCTGACATATTCTACATCTCTGCATGACTTACTTGAGAAATAAAAGCAGTTGCTACCCTGGATGACTCTCAGATGGTCAACACAGATTGATGGGCTTGAGTGCAGGCAACAGTGAGCGTGCAGATGGTGGTGTCTGTACCATTTGACAGGAGATGACCGAGACTCTGAAATGATTCCAGTGGAATGGCTTTGGTGTTGTTGCAGTAAAGGGCATGCATTCAACCTCAGGTGCTGTACAGATGGTGAAGCCAAGCTAATATAGAAAAATGAGAAACAAGTGACTATTTAATGCACAAGAATGCTTGGTCCACATCACAAGTAAATGATGGTATTGCATTTGGGAAGCCTAGCCAGATGGCTGTACATTAAAACACATGACTCCTTGAGAGAATTAAGTACAGGCAATTTGCTCAGATTTTCTGGAGGCCTGCTGCATATTATATTAGGGTAGGGGAGAATAAGAGATGAAGTGCTTTATTTATTGAAAGTGTTAGGTGAATTTGGCAGTTATTTAAGCATAATCTGATCTCCATCAGTATTTAACATGTCTCTTCAAGGGGTTAGGGCACAAGGAAGAGTCAGCTGGGCTTTAAAAACAAAACAATGTGAAGAGTAGTGGTTTTTTGGCCCACACCTTTTAAGTTTTATGAAAGTTTTCTACTAGGCAAAAAAAAAAGGTTTTCTTTACAGGTTTTAATTTGTCAAAAATACTAGAAACACATATAAGGAATTGAATTGAATATGTTGAATGCTGTGTGAAATGGGACCATTTTTGCCAGTAAAATTTAAAATGTTTGCTTTGCAGCTTAAAGAAAGTGGTTATTGTACAGGTCATGAACCAGACTCCCTGGAATTCAGCACTGTGGGAGGGTGGATATCTACTCGAGCGTCAGGAATGAAGAAAAATATCTATGGCAATATTGAAGACCTGGTAAATGTATTTCTAGTTACTGTCTAATGATTAGTATTTAGAAAGTAAGATAAAGTACTTAAAGCCTTTAAAAATTAAGGATTGGATGGTAAATGTCTTCAAAATATACTCCTTTTGATTATAGTAATACTGATTGTGTATAGTAGAAACAATTAAAATATAGCAGTGGTCATATTGAAGGACACCCTTTTAAAAGTGACTCTTATTTAAGGTTTGTAGACATAGTATCTAACTTAAAAATATGCAAATAATGATTTACAAATTTATCAAGAGTTTAGGTTCTTTTTGGTGATATTGTTATTCTTGCTGTATGAGATTTTACATTTGCTTTTTCTGAAGGAATTCTTTTTTCTCTGCTGTACAGTTGAAGAACCTCACTGAAATGGTTCTGTTGAGTAGTTATATAAGCTGTCAGGTTTAACATGTGCCAGTCTTCCAGGAACATGAAAGTGTTAAAACTCTGGGCCCCTTATTAGATATTGGGTGACATTTATTGCATTTGTAGCTTTTCTGGGGATTAGTTACATGACCTCGGCAAATTTGTTTACCTTTCCCAGCTTCAGTTTCCTTTGCTGTAAAATACAATAATTATGTTAGAACTATTATATGATTAAAGGACATTAAAAGAAAATTTCACCAATCTGGTGTATAGTAGGTTCTTCATGAATTCTTTTTTTTTAATCTTCAGTATTTTGATAATATTTATTTAACTTGACATTTTCCTACATGGTCTTGCTACTTAGCCCAGGCTGGCCTTGAATTTTCCTATTTCCTATTTCCATTTCATTTGCTGAGGTTAAAGGCAGGCAGTACCATGCTGATGGTTGATAGTACTTTAGAACCTAAGAGGCTGTTTAATTGAAATAATATTCCTAACATTGTTCTTGTTTTGCTTTTCAAGCCTCAGGGTTTTTTTATTAATACTTCTGAAATTTATCTGATATTCCTACCAATATCAAATACATTTCATGAGAGATAGTAGCTCTTACCAGTATCCAGTATTTTACATGAACTCTTTCAAAATGCTTGCTATTCTGTTTAAGAAATGAAAAACTACAGTCTTTGTGGCTACAGTAGAACTCACAAAAAGTTTCTAAGTGTTAACAATTTTTTAATAAAAGTATAGACTTAAAAATACAATTAAGTCATGATACTAATATCTAACTGGTGGAAAAATGTTGAAAATTATTATATTTATCCTCAGTGTACAAATCACTAAAAGATTTGAGAATTCTGAAGGTCATCACTACTTATGGCTTAGCTCACTATTTAATAAGTAGTGTTTTATTATAAAGGTATAATTTATTATAAGTGAGTGTGTGTGTAAGTACAATCATAGATCTAAGATGTGTGGGATTTATTTTGTGCATTGTATTAAACAGGTGGTTCATATGAAAATGGTAACACCTAGAGGTGTAATAGAGAAAAGCTCCCAAGGACCTCGTATGTCCACGGGCCCTGATATCCATCACTTCATCATGGGATCGGAAGGTTGGTGTACTTGTAAAGTTGTTAGGAAAATATGTAGTTAATGATTTCATTTTGTGAAAGTCTGTGATATCGCACAGTATGTGATATCTTTGAAAGAATGGTATCCTTTGTATATTTAAAGAGTAATGAGTTTTTATGACTTACTATTTTTTAATTCATACTTCATAAAGGTTTTATGAGAGTGACTTACTCAATTTCCTTCTACACTTTAGTCTTTTATATTTCTAAAGACTGTGATTTTTTTTGTTTTTTATTGTTTTCAAAATTTTTAGTGAATCTTAAGAAACAGTGGTGAGGGCTTACGTTTAATCCTGTCCCAGTAATTATGAGAAAGACTGACAAAACATTTTCTTTCTTGTTTTCTTGTAATTGTGTATTTTGTTACTTAGTGTTGGATGATTTTAGAAACTGCTTTAAATTCCATTTATTCATGTATCTTTTAAACTTCTGTTTGTCATTTAAACTTTTATTTTGTAAGTAATATCCATCGCTTGCCTGCTAATGTTGTATAGACTAGAATGCCATTCTTCAGCTCCTCCAAATGTGTAATTCTTTCTGTTTTGCAAGCTGTTGAGTAAACAGTGGGAAATGGTATGAGTAAACTTGGGCCTGTTTTTTAGATTGTGGAATAGGAAAGGGGCATCCCTTAAATTCAGAGAAGTTTGATAAATTAAAACAAAGTGTTTTCTAAATTAGCTAAAATAAACCCTCATTGCTTAGTTCAAAAGATGGTCTGAGTTGAACAGATAGAGTTTGGAAACATTTAGCTATTTCAAAAATGAAAGAACAATTGTAATAACTGTTGTTCCTACTCTGTTTGGGGGGGGGGTAGGGAGATAGAGGGTGAGTAGACTTCTGCAGTGAGCAAGGTGAAACCCAACTGACTTTCCATTGAGCTGCTCATTTAAGTGGGGGTGGAGGGAACAAAGGCTATTTAAATCCTTTGGGCAGTGGGTAGAGGCTTTGTGGTGAATCTTTGAGTGGGGCCAAGTGCTGGGAACGCCTGGGAGTGGCTTATTTGAAGAAAAGTTCCAGCTGCTGGATGTCTTACTTAAGGGTTTACTGATGTGAGCAGACGATGTGGCCAAGCCAGCTCTTATAAGGACATTTAATTGGGGCTGGGTTACAGGTTCAGAGGTTCAGTCCATTATCATCAAGGCAGAAACATGGCAGCATCCAGGCAGGCATGGTGCAGGAGGAGCTGAGAGTTCTACTTCTTCATCTAAAGGCTGCTAACAGGCTACTGGCTCTCAGGCATCTAAGACTAGGGTATTAAAGGCCACACCCATGAGGCCACACTTCCCAACAGTGTCCCTCCCTGGGCCAAGCATGTACAAGCCATCACACTGGATATGACGTTATAAGGAGAAAGGAAGTTTAACCTGTAACCTGGCCACCAGGCTACATGATTACCTCAAGGTTGGCAGGTGTAGGGGTTGTAAGGCTGTGAGAGCAGGGACATGCAGGCTCAGAACAGGGAGGAAATGGTCCTACTTCTACCAGTTTCAAGGAGATTTTAGACATGCCTTGATCTCACTCTTGTTCCAGGCTACCCCGACCTCCACCCCACCCCCTGTTGCAGGACTCTTCAGCCCCACAAATAGCTAAGGGATTCATGCAGTGGGGTTTGGTTTAGGACCTGAAACAAGGGACTGAGATGCATATTTGCATATCAAAGCAGACCTGGTCTCCTGGTTCTCCCAGTATCCCTTAGTCCTTACCTGGTATACCCTGCTCCCAACCTTGAACTTTTCAGCTCAGAGGCTCTTCTCTGTATAATTCAGACATTTTGGTCTCTTTCTTACTCTCTCCACTCTCTCTCCTTTGCACATGCACCCTTTCTCTTTCTCCCCTTTTCCCTTCTTTCCATGGCAACATCCCTGGCCTCCTTCCTAGGGGCCAGTGCCTTTAATATGTTCTAACCCAGTTTGAGTTGGCTCATTTCATTGGTGGAGAAGTAACCTATCAATAAGTTCTGATCTTTGACAGTAACAACAAAGAAAGAACAAACGACAGTGTCTGTTAATGACATGGTAGAGATCATATCAAGTATTTGATGATAGATTGGTTATTTGTGATGGTGGTGGTGGTAGCTGTGGGGGTTTGGTTTATGTGTGTAGGTAGGCGTGTCTGGTTGTGTAGGTGATAGGTTGTGGGTAGGTGGGTGTGTGAGTACCTTTACTTTGTGTGAACACATGCCTGCACATACTCCCCTTGCTTCATCATCAGTACTGCTCTTCTTGATTCTTACCATTTTCTTCTTTGTAGTTTTTCTTTTTCTTTTCTTTTTGTTTTTGTTTTTTTTGAGACAGGGTCTCTATTAATGTAGTGATTGTCCTAGAACTTATATGAAGACCAGTCTGGCCTCAAACTCAGAGATCTATCTACCTGCCTCTGTCTCCTAAGTGCTAGGATTAAAGGCATGTACTATACTGTGCCTGACTTGCTTCTTAGCCTCTTTCAAATTTCCTTATAGGAGGTATATGGTCCTCTATATGACCTGTATAGGATTATGGTTTTATATAATATTTTGGCATTATTGTTATATGAAGGTCTTCTAGGAATCATTTTGTATGTATTTTCTTAGTCCTTAATTGCTCTACTTTTTTTTTCTTATTTTCCTCTGCTCCTGCTTTTTTTCGATTTTGTTTGTTTGTTTGTTTTTGGAGGGTCTTACTCTTCAGCCTAGGCTGGCTTGGCATTACTGTGTGGCTCTGACTGGTTCCAGGCTACCCCCGACCCCCATTTATAATCCTCTTCACTCAGTTTCCCAGACGCTGGGATTACAGGTGTTAGCCACTGCCCTCAACTTTGTTGTGTGATAGACTGCTTAAGCATCCCTTCGCCCCTTCTCACACTTACAATCCTTTAGTGTTGAGAACTTATTAGGTCAAAGGGAAGCTTTTCTTTTTATCTTTGCTTAGAGGTAATTTGAAGCTTATAGGGCATTTTGTTTTTCTCACTTAATCTTTTTTTTCTTCTAATATTGAATTCATAGGCCTTGTTCAGGGAGGAAAGGGAGAGGACAGATTCATAATCAGGTGATACCATGTTTTTGCTCCTTTTTATTTTTAATTTTATATGTATGTGTCTTTGCATATATTTCTGTGTACCATGCATATGCAATGCCTGTGGAGGCCAGATGCAGGTATTGGGTGCCCTGGGATTGTGACTGTTAGGAATCAAACCTGGGTCCTTTGGACCATCAGTCAGTGAGTGCTCTTAACCAATGACTCATCCCTCGATCCCCACTAACTCTTTCTGACACTGTTTCTCTTAATAATGAAGTATGTTTTCAATTTACGTGAGGCTTTATTTGTTCAGGAAAATACTTGCTTTTTAGTATTAAATAGCATGGTTGGTTTCCTCTTATGGAGTGATTGCACAGGTGAGCATATTTTTCCTGATAGGTTGTTTTTGTAATTCATAGGGCTCACAGCTAGATTAGACTGTTGATACTTTTTCTTACAGCACCCAGCTTGCTTGCTCTATATCTTGCAGCTGAGGTGTGTGGTATCTTTAGTAATAGAGTTTTATCTTCTAGATCTAGTGGACAACCAAAAGAACTGTAAAGAACTTGTATTATTTTGGAGGCCTTTGAGACCTCTGTGACCAACAATCCCAAATAAATTATATAATGTTACTTTCTATAGTGAAGTCAGCTGAGATTATGATACTGATTACTTTCATAAGATACTTTTCATACCTATCATATTTTTTGTGATGAAGTTAGACCCTGAGTTACATCATACTTAGTATGTTTTGACTAATGATATTACAGCAATGTAATAGTCACTTCCCCAAATAAGTTATTTTTGAGAATTTGTGAAGAATTGGTATTTGTCCCTTAAACGTTTGATAGTTTTCAAGATTGAAAGCACCTGTCTCTTAGATTTACCTTTTGAATCTCCATTTTTCTAAGTACCCCTTTTTAAAAATGAGATAAGAGAGTCAAGAGAGTAGTCAGTTTACATTATATACATTTGTGGAATTGTCAAAGAACAAATTTAATAAAAGAAAATGTAAGAGTTCTATAGGAAGAAGGACTGCAATGCCACCTTCTAGCCGTGACACAGTCATTGCTGTCATGAACTCACAGCAGCACTAGTTTTGTAAAGATTGCCTATCAACAATCCAGTATTGATTGGTAGGAGTAGGAGCACTCATGAGACCTTAGCCCTTGCTGATGAAATCATGGATACTGATTGATTCTGGGAGAGAGGGAATCCTCCTCAATATATATCGCAGGTATATATTTTAAAATTAAGATGTATGAGTCCTCTTTTCTGCTTTTTTTTTCTTTTGACTATCCCTTGCAATTCCATATAAAAAAGAAAGAAGTTAGACCCAAGCTCATGTCTTATTTATTTTATTTGTTTAACTTGGAGTCTCTGTGAAAGCCAGAGTCCAGGAAGGAGACATTGATGGGGAGTATATCTTAAATAAGGCTACTAGAACATAATTATTTCCCTTTGAAATAGCTTCTGCTATTCTATCAATACTGGATCCTCACCAGGGCTCCTCTTGGATACTCTGTTGTTTTTCCATTGTCATAGAGATCCCAGAGCTTTGGATCTTCAGGACTGGCCCCTTACCTGCTCTAGCAGTTCATAGATGGGGTAGATGTTTGGGTAGGACAACTGGAAGTCCTGGATCTGGGCCTGGGTAGTAGCTGAGCCTGAGTAGTTGGCCAGCCCACCAGCTCTTCTGCACTTGCACCACCAGAGTAAGCTCTCCAGCACTGCCCCTGGCTAGCTCACCCAATGCTATAGCCAGTGAGGGACAGACAACGTCATGCTCTCAAGCCTTTGGGGCTGGCTTACCCATGCCTTTGCCACCAGGGCTAGCTCTACTGTGATGCCCAAGGTAAGTTGCAGGGCCCACTCTTCCAGAGCTGCAACCAGGGAGGGCCAGGGCCAGCTCTCCTGCTCTCATGACCTCTGGGCCAGCTTACCTGCCTGCTGCAAGAGGGGAGAGGAAGGAGAGGGAGAAGGGAAGGGCGTCTCTCCCTTGCCCATGCCACCTCACTTCCTTGTGGGGCCACTTCACCCACACTTCTGCCACCAAGGTCAGCTCTACTGTGCTGTTGTGCAGATTCTTTAAATGAGATTTTCGTTGTAGTTATTACACATCCCAGCTCCAGAGGTTTTAGTAGTTTATTGATAGTCAGTAGTTCTTTGATATTAATAAATGCTGTTTCAAGTGAACCTTGAAATCATTACAAATAAAAAAAAGTCCAAATGACCACATACTACGAGATTCCCTTTTATATACAATAGCCAGAATATGCATATGAATAGAGACAGAATATATTTATGAATAGTTGGCTAGGGTGTGGATCCGGAAATGGAGCATGGCTGTTTAATTGGTACAGTTGTGGGGAGATTAGAATTAAAAATTCTAAATTTAGTTTATAGTATTGATTATGCATACATGTGAATATATATTAAAAGCTACCAACTTTAGCATTTTCTTTCTTTTAAAAATACCTTTTGTTTCTACTTTGATGATTTCAAACATATATATATATATATATATATATATATATATATATATCAAGCATATCCACCCTCAGCCTCACATTTTCCTGTGCCTCCCAAACATGTGTCCCTCAGATCTTTATTTCCTCTTCCTTTTCTTCTCCTCTTCCTTCTCCTCTTCTTCCTCTTCCTCCTCCTCCTCCTCTTCTTCTTCCTCCTCTTCCTTTTCTTCCTCCTCCTCCTCTTCTTCTTCCTCCTCTTCCTTTTCTTCCTCCTCCTCTTTGTTTTAGTAACTCACTGAGTTAAGTGAGTACTGCCTACACAAGCATGGGTAACCTATCAGTGGCCACATCCCTGAAGAAAAATATCTCTGCCTCCTGTAGCAGCCATCATCTGCCAATAGCTCCTCAGTGGTAGAACCTTAAAGAGCACCTGTACAATCTATGCTGGAATTACTGACTGGCTTGATCATGTGGCTTATAGCTGCTCTGAGTTCACGAGTGCAACAGCCCCACCACGCCCAGATGACAGTATTTTACAGTACTCACTCCAGCCTTACGTTCTCCCTGTTTCTCTTACACAATGTTCCCTGAACTTTGTGGTCTTGGTGATGTTCCATTTAGAGCTGAGCACTCAACAGTTACTTATTCTTACCACTTTAACTAGTATTGTACATACTGAAGCCCATTGCAAAAAGAAGCTTCTCTGATCTTGATGGCCAACTACTCTGTGGGTATAGACATAACTATTTACAAGGTAGTTTGACAGTGTCGCTTTGGCAAAACAATAGTAGTTCCTGTCCACCCTTCTACATATACACAGGGCCCATGACCTTCCTAGCCACTGGCTTTTGGCCAGTATTACAGTATATTCCTGTGGACCAGGCCCCAGATCCAATCAGAAAACAGTTGTTTGCCTCCCTAATGGTCATGCCAGGATTGTACCCATGCATTCATTTTGTTTTGATATATTAGTGTTCAGGATCAAGTACTATAAAAGGTTGCCAACAGGGAGAAAACGTCCAAATCAGTTCAGCATGATTTCTCTGTCTGCTGGAATCAAAGTGTATTGTGTCTTCACCAGTAGGGTTTTACCATCTAGTTATGGTGGGTAACCAAGAGGATGACGTTAGCCATTATGTTGTTTTGAGGGCTTCTAGAATTTTAAATGAGTTGGAATCATTGAAATTATATCCCAAAGATATGGAAACAAAAAAAAAATTTAGTCATTCTAGTTATGTTTTCAATTTTACATTTGTTTTTATATATTAAAATGTTAGTTGGGCAAACTTATAGAGATTTTGTGACTATGCAAGTTATAAGAGGCTCATATTTTAAATAAGCCAGAAACAATATATATATGTAATGAATGTATCAATATATCAACAACTAATCAATCTGATTTATACTCCACTGACTCAGACTAGTCTTTAGCACTGTGTTTACATCTTGGTAAGTCACTCTAGGGATTCCAAACGTGATCTCGACTTTGATTTCCAGTGTTGTAACTAAGTTCTTCAGTTTCATTCACATCTTTCTTTATACTTATTAAAAATGGTCATTGAAATATTTGCTAGTGGTACACTATTTGTACATCTGAAACCAGAGGTTTGAAAGCATTTGATTTTATGAATATATTCCTTTTTAGTCATATTTCTTTAACTATTTGATACAGATGGTTATATTTATTATTTTTCTTTCAGTTTAATCTCTCTATGGCCCAAGCAGTAAAGAATGTGTCATATGTGGTTTTTTCATGCTTCATACTTAGAATAATTATTTTGTCTCTGAGTACTTTTCATTAAGACTTCTCAGTAATGCTTTTGTCTTTCTGTGTGCTAAGTCTGAGGAGACAAGGCAAGGTCATCATTCTCAGAGCCCTTCAATCATTTTAAAGTTACAAAGTTAGCTTCCTTTTGGCCCAGTAAATCTTTTCGTAGTAAATATTGACACATCAGAATATACCTTTGTCAATATGTGTGAGATGTAACAACCTGCTTCTCTATATTTTTCTTTTAATATATTATAATGTTTAAAAACCACTTGAGCAACTTTCTTGGAGAAAGCTTAGAATGTTTTAAAATACTTACACATAAAAAAGAAAAATTTAGTCTAAAATCATATTTGAAACTATAAAATTTGCTTAATTATTCATTTTAGAAGACTTCATTAGCCATTATTCCCCATATAGAAGAGGTCAAATAGATTTAACATGGATAATAGAATTAACCAGTAGAATCAGTTGATTAAATAGATTTAAATATGGTTTTAGAAAATTGTCATGTGATAAATGGATTATTTCCCTTCTTTTTTAGGAACTCTTGGTGTAATAACAGAAGCTACAATAAAAATCAGACCAACCCCTGAATACCAAAAGTATGGCTCGGTGGCTTTCCCTAATTTTGAACAAGGTGTAGCCTGTTTAAGAGAAATTGCAAAGCAGGTAAAAACAAAGTAGAAGATATATATGCAATTATATTTTTAAAATTCTGCTGTAACTGTGATGCTTCAAGTACTCTTTATATTTAGTTGTGTTATATTTGTAATTCTTTTTAATCACATTTTACATAGAAATGACCCCTACGTACACTTATTTCATTCAGTAGTTAACACTACTCTCATACCTGTCTCTTGTTTGAAGAGGCCAGTGTGATTTGGGACCAAGGTAAGACATGTGCTTTGATTCCTGGCTTTAAATGATTTGCTTTGTGTTGAATGCTATATTTTAAATTATTTTGGAATAACAGATTTTGTGGTGAATTGAAATGATATTTAGCTTATGTTAAATAAAACATTTATTGAAATTAGAAGTAGCCATGTGTGGTGGTGCACACCTTTCATTCCAGGGCTTGAAAGGCAGAAGTAAGCAGATCTCTGTTGAGCTCATAGCCTGGTCTACACAGTGAGTCCCAGGGCAGCCAGAGCTGTGTAGATAGACCCTGTCTCAACAAACAAAGACCTCCTCCCCCCAAGAAAAAGGAGAAACTAGAGGTAATGACTGAGCATCACTAACCCCCAAATTTAGAAATTTAAAATGTAGATAAATGTTTTTAATGCATAGAATACGCTGGTAAGTGCTACTTGGTTTTATAGTTATTTTATCTATTGTTTAAGTAATATTTTTTTTACTTAATTTTTTCAAGACTCTCTTTCTTTTAATAATTTTATTTCATGTGCATTGGTGTCAGATCCACTGGAACTGGAGTTACAGACAGTTGTGAGCTGCCATGTGGGTCCTGGGGATTGAACCTGAGTTCTCTGGAAGAGCAGCCAGTGCTCTTAACTACCAAGACATTCTCCAGCCCCCTGTTTGTAATCTTAAAAGAAAAAGGAAAAACAAAAACAAAAAACCTCCTGCCTTCTGGCTTCCTATAAGAGATATATTATCATTTTTCCTTTTTCCTTTTTTTAAAGAACTAAATCATGCCAGATAACCTTTTTATTTTATTCTATGTCTTAGTGTGGAAATCTCTTACTTTATGCATTATTTGAACTGCAGTAGTTTACAATAGTCCCAGCCTTTCTTAGAGGGAGGATAAAGCAGTGCACTTCACCCTTTCTTGCTTTCTCTAAACTGAGTTCCCTAATACTCTCCATCAGGTACATGAAGTACAATCTTTCTCCTTTTTTTTTCTCTTCCTTCTTTTCTTTTTGTTAGAGTCTCACTGAGTAGCTTTGGAAAGCCTGGAACTTGCTAATGTATATCAGTCTGGCCTCAGACTCAGAAGAGATCCACCTGAGTGCTAGGATTAAAAACTGGGACACCCACTACACTGGAGGGAAATTTTTTGATATCACCTGTGTAGGTCAGCTTCCTAGTTAACACTCAAAGTAGGGTGGAAGGTGACTCTAATAAAGACAAGGAAAAATATCTGTCCAGTTATCCATATTCATGTTGGACTATAAGATAGTGAAATGCACAGGTATTTGAAATTTCTGTGTTTTTAATTTAAAGAAAGTAATTGGAAGTTCACTAATAAAAAATAAAACACAAATTTTAAATATATGTTAATTTGATTTTTTTTTTTTTATAAAAAAAAAAAACAACTCTCAGAATATAGCACAGGCTGTATTAAAGACGTAGTTCCTGTTGTCTCTAGGTCATGTTTTGAGCATGGTATTTCTACTTAATCAGTATTACCTGTGGTTTTTTTTGTTTTTTTTGTTTTTTTTTTTAGCAAAAGAAACATGAGTGCCAAAGTAGTTTTTTACTTGTTTTAAGTTGGTCATTCATTTCATTCATTAATTAATTAATTCATTCATTCATAATTAAAAGAGTAGAAAGCATTCTTACCTGCATCAGGCAGAGAGAACGAAGAGGCTCTTTCCAAATCTGTGGTTCCTTCAACAAAGGAAGAATTTCAGATGTTATGTTAGCACCTATACCTATGTATGCAGGGACACACTTTAGAGGTGGGTACATTTAGCATGTGTAGTTTAAGGTCATAGTTCAAGAAGGGAAGATGGATAGATTTAGGGACATACTCGTCTTAAAGGATGAAGCACTTGTTGGAAAGGTTAAAATGGTGGATGAGAACATTTGGGCATGTTCATAAAGCTTATGTTATAAAGATGTCAGACAAGAATTCCTCTGGACATGCTTACTCTCCCCCCTTCCCCAAGATTTAGCACCTCAAAACAGGGTACACTTCTTCATTGCCTCTTCTGTCAGCTCAAATCAGATTAGAAAATAATCATAAATGTTGAAAAAGCATATTAGATTTATATATTTTTGACAAAAGATCTCAGGAGGGTCATGTTCACCAGTGCTAGCTAAAGCTATATTTTCTAGTCTCTCTTCAAGTTAGTGGATTCATCATTGTTAATTGGTCTTTAGAATTCAGGTATAAATATTTTATGCTTTCCTGAATGGCCATCCATTTTCCCACATTGCACATACTCACTTGAAAACGCCTTTTCTTTCATCATTGAGAAGTGATACATAAATCTATAAAAATCCTGTTTATAATATTATAGAGCCATTCAGTTTGATAGTCTGTTGCAATTTTTTATTATAGTTTGATGTGCTCATATTAGAAGGTGACAGAGAAGAGCCACTTGTACTGTTGAAGAGCCTCCTCCTCCTTGCATAAAGCAACACAACTTGCCCCTTTACTCAGTTTTAAGAATCTTAGATACTCAACTGATGACTGTAGTGCAATTTACCGTGGCATTTGGTATAGAGGGACTAATAATCAATAGTGCCACCATGTGGTTGTAGAGCAGACCAGCCAGAAAGTACCTGGCTAGACTGGAGTTTGGAGTAGTTTGTGTACTTAGTAATAAATAGCTTTTGCAGACAAATTGTATAAACTAGGAGGCTTGTCTTACTGGAAACCGACATAAAAATTTGGATAGATAGCAGTTTATTCTCAAGCATTGTTCCTGAATGGGTAAGAATGCACTTTAGTGGAATCTCGTTCTTTGGGACCCGCATTTCATGCCTTATAATGCAAATGTACAGTCATCGTTTGGACATGGATTTAAACAATTGTTTAATGGTTTAAGAGATGATTTATTTACCTTACTAAATAGAAACCTCATGCCAATAGTAGGTGCTATATTTTGTTCTCCTTTTTCACATAGAAAGGCTTAAATTATCATAGTTTGGCACTGCTGCTTAGTTTGAGATTTGGAATTTCAGTTGATAGCAGGGGAACTTAAGATCGACTGAAATAGATAGTGTATGTTTTATGGTCGTGCCCAGTTCTTGATTGAATAATGTATTGGCCGCTTATAATTTCACACTTTGATTTTTACAATGTTTTCACTCAAGCTCCTTTCAAAATTGCCAGCTGTGTGGTAGATGAGTGCATTTTGGAAAGGAGCATGTGTGTTTGTTCACAGCAGCAACGTGGGTGCTGTCAGGTTTTGTTACTGTTCTTCCTGAGAAAGACAAGAGAAACAGCCTCAGCTGGTAGAGGGTTGCTCCTCAGGTCTCAGGTGATCTTGTCCATGTGAGGAACTGTCCTCTTTTACTGCCTTCTGAGAGAGGAAGAGTTAGTGGGTGGTTAATGTAACTCTGTTTCCTAAGTGGCAGGGCAGTGCAGTCTTTACCTTGGCTTCGTAGATGGATAGGTAAGTGATTCTTTAGACTTCCTTAGAAAAGATTTCTCATGGTGGCTTAAGATGTGAGGATGTACTATCAGTGTCAGATACAACATTTTACTATTCTCTTGCTAGTCTAGAACCAACAGTGATGTTTTTATAGGGTTTGAAACAAGCTCAGTAGCATATACTCTGGTTCTTTTGGTTGTTTTCAATAAGAATTTAGTATGCTGGGGCTGGAGAGATGGCTTAGTGGTCACGAGCGCTGACTGCTTTTCCAGAGGTTCAATTCCCAGCAGCCACATGGTAGCTCACAATCATCAGTAAGGGGATCTGATGACCTCTTCTGGTATATCTGAAGAGAGCGACAGTGTACTCATACACAAAATAAATAAATCTTATTAAAAAAATTTACAATTCTGTCTTCCATGTTGAGAGAGGGGCATCTCTTGCCATTAGAAGAAAAGTGACTAGTATGAATTAGTCAGTTCTTTGAAAATTGCCCATTTGGGTGTCAGAAGTAGATATTTAGATGACAGCCTCTCCTTCACCAGGAGAGGCTTTTCTGCTTCTCTCACCTTTATTTTCAACATTTTTAGTAATTTAAAATTAATAGGTACTTCCTTATGTTAATTTAGATCACAGCAGGGAAGAAATAGTTTGTGAGTTCTGTAAATTTTGCAGGAGTTCAAATAACTTGAAAAAAGTAGTTTTGACATGTACTTTATAAAAATTTTATATAAAAAATTTTGTATATTTAGCAGTAATTTTTGGGTGTACTTGCTACTTATAAAATGCAATTGCCATTATAAGTTAATATTTTTATATGTGTCATATTTTTTTCTTCTCTAAAGAGGATAACTTTGGTCAGTGATTTGGTTACTTGGGTTTTTTACAGTTGTGATCCACTGAGATGAAGGTCATTCATTGTATGGCACGCTCTTTGCCAGAAGTTACTTAGAAGTAGGTATTGTCCCTTTATTAAACTGAAAATAAAAGTCAAGTTATGATTAGGATACTTGTCTGTTTTGGTGGCTCTTACAAGCTGAGGAACATATCTGCCAAATAATATATATTTCATGCTTAAAAAAAAAACAGAAATATTTGTCTTTAAGAAGAAATGTCTTGTTTATAATATAGATAGATCCCTAGTTATATGCATGTCGTTTCCAGGATGACCAGTGAGTATTTCCAGTAGCCTTAAAAATATGATTTCACCTATATCAACTCTGACATAGAGGAGGAGCCTGTTTATATTTAAATTTTGCATTTCTGGGAACTTACACTCAACACATATCTTTCACCCAGCATTGAACTTTTCATTAATTTTTCATTGGCTTTGTGTAGGAACACTGTGCTCTTAATGTTATACCACATAATGAAATAGGTAGTGTGCAGATTAAATAGAGAGCACTCTCTCTCTCTCTCTTTTTTTTTTTTGGTAATTACTAAGGACACAACATATTTTAATTTCACTGAGTTTAATTTTGCATAGCATTGCCCATGGGTTGAATATTGGGGCATTTGTTTTTGATAAACATGTAGATTATTTGCTTTTGTTTTGTTTCTTTGTTTTTTAAATTAATTAATTAATTAATTAATATCCCAAATGCTGTCGCCTGGCAACCAGTCCCACCCTCACAGAGTCCCTTCTCTCGTTTCCCTTTTCTTTTCTCATCTGAGAGGGTGGGCCACCCTCTGGATATCTGATAGGCTCAGGAATTTGGGCAGGATGTTTGGCTTTGAAGAAACCATTTCAGTTCAAAGATAACTCACTGGTGTGGCAGCTCAGATAGAGGGACATTCAGTGAGATACCCTTTTAATTTATCTTTAAGATCTTAAAATAGTAGCAGTCTTAGAGGGAATTAAAAGGTGTATTAACTCTGAACTTTGGTAGAAGCTAGTCAAGTCAGAGACATCTCCACTCATGTGTCCGATCTCAAATGTATGATTTTCTCCGGCAAGGGGCAAGGTTTAGTGTAAGCAAAACATTTCCCAGGAATCTTTTGAGGTATTTCTTAAATAGTTACCTTTTAAATTTATAAAGTAGTTGGATTAAGATATCTGTTAAGTTAGCATAGAGAGTAATACTAGATTTTACTTTTCAGGTTAAGGCTCAAGTAAATTCCTGGTTGCTATACTCTTAAAGGAAGGAAATTACTAGAAATTTGGCTTAGTTAAATCTGTACATAATTATTCATCAAGACAAAATGATTGATGGTTAGTGCCCAGTAGTTTTTTTTTTTTATACCTTTTGGTGCTATTTACTGACTGTCTGGCATAGATTGGTGGTGTAAGTCAAATGCACGAGAAATCCTAGTAAGTGCACTTCATTATTTTCTTAACTTTAGTTAGAGTAAGCAACTTTTGTTTGTATATTGTTAAAATTTCTTGGATTTCTTAATAATGCATCATTAGTTTGTTGAAACATCCCCTCCTAGGTTACTTCTGACACCTACCAGCAGGGGTCACTGTAGTGCCAGGGCTCCTTGCTTGCCTGCCCGCCCTATGTGTGTGCAGCGGTGTCAGTGTTGCTTACCAGATGGTTTGGTGTGATTTTGAACTCTTAACTCTTCTTAGAGTTTATAGTCTCTATCTTTGAAAGATAGACCTCAAACTCTTCAGTTAGTTTTGGAAGCAGTGTAAATAACCTAATTGGAGCTGTGTTTGATGTTTGAGTAGTAAGAGCTTCTCTTTGATCAGTTGCTGTGGTAACCTTTTTTTTTCCTGAGACAGGGTTTCTCTGTGTAACCCTGGCTGTCTGTCCTGGAACTCACTATGTAGACCAAACTGGCCTCAAGCTCATGGAGTTCTGCATTCCTCTGCCTCCTGAGTGCTGGAGGCATGTGCCGCCACCACCAGCCTGTGGTAACTATCAATTATTTCAAATTCTGTTTATAAGTATATTTAGAATGATGTGTAATAATTTACAAATTATCAGTTGCCAAAGGCCAGCAGACTAACCTACACACTTTTTTTTAAAATTTAAATTCTTTGCTCATATGACAACTGAAAATATATTTCTTGACTTTGGAAAAAAAAAATAAGACCTTGATTTGAATTTGATGATTTCTAAAATTCAATGTTAAAAACTTTGTTTTGGGTAGTATTTGCTCATGTAATTCAGCCACCAAGTTAAAATCACACTTAGTTTATGTGAATATTTCTAAGGAATTTTAGCAGTTTATTTTAAAAAACATTTTTACTTGCATATTTAAGAAAGTTGTATTCTAATAATCTGAGAGGCAGACTGGTACTCCATTCTGTTGGCTCCAGGACACCTTGGACCCTTTGGTGTTTTACTGTAGAGCTCACCTCCTACCCAGCATTTCCCTTTAACATCAGACAAATTTCCTTCCCTGCTCACCAGGTTGGTAGCTACGAGAGGCAGGCCTGGACTTTGTTGTCAGTAGTCCTTGATGGGTGCCATAGTCCAACCTCTGCATCTTAAAAGTTTGCCATACCATGCTTTGTTGCAGCCTTTAAACACACTTTTAATCCTAGCACCTGGTAGGCAGAGGGATGTAGATCTCTTAAGTTCAAGGTCAGCCTGGTTTACATAGTGAGCTCCAGGCCAGGCTGACTACAGTGTGAGACCTTGTTTCAAAAATAAAACCTGGATAAAATAAGTAGAGAACAACGGAACTACTTCCAGCTTAAGGAGATAAAATCAAATGCAGATTCTAACTAGGGAGCCAAAATTAATCTGTAGTTTCTGGATGTGTTTTGACCTCAGAAGAGACCCAGTAGCTCAGCTCTCCTCCTGACTACGAGCATTTACTGAGAGTGGTGTCTTTCTCCCACTTCCTCAGCATGTGTGGCTTGTTGTCATGAACAGCACCCACCCTTGAGGCAGGACTACAAAATGGCCAATGTGAAAGTTTTTATGTAATCTTTGATTCAAATATGAAGCAAAGCACTGTGTAGTTAGTGATTGTTTGTGTGTAATTGTGTGTGTGTGTGTGTTACATGAAACTGCTCATCAGTAGTCAAGATCTTGGTCTCTTTGCTGTTTCATAGTTATTTGACCTTGGACAAGTATTTTAACCTCATCCATTCTTGTGTCTATCTGAAAAGTAGTTAGCACAAGTTATGCCTCTGTGACAGGGCTGTTGATAAACAGGGCAGCAGTTTGGAGACACAGCACCTTGGATAGTGGGAGGTGGTGGGTTGCCACCATGTGTATCAGATCACTTGGTACTGTCCCTTCAGACCTGCCAGTGACTTTTCAGTCACTTGAACTATTTTATCTTTAGTATTTAGATGAGTAAATAAACTGTTTAGGCTTTAAAATAAGAATCTTATCAATCCTTTTGCTGGGTAAAATTGTGTTTTATGCTTTTATAATAATTAAATACTTGTTCAACTAAAACCAAGTAATAGCAAAATGTTTTAATGAATATTTTAAGCTTTAGAGAGTTTTGGAACTTTATAGATTTTATTGATAAATGATACTTGGATGACAGATGTTTGGAAAGTTTATGGCAGTTTTTGAAGGCTGAGCCAGTACGAGTGTCGAGAGGAGTTTGGAGACATCTGGGCTACATAGCAGATGTTGTCTCAAAAAATGTTTACAGCATTTTTCAAAATATCTGCTCTAAAAACAGCGCTTGGTAGAATTTTAGCAGTCTTAAAAATCTTGTGTAGGAAACAATAATCTAGTTTGTGCCTCAGACCCTTTTATAGCTTGGTTATCACAAAGTTAATAGAGTGCAAGATGAATGTCGTGTCTGCATTCTCTTCTCATGTTTCCATACATTCCTGCTTGGACATCTGCAGTCTGAAAATCCAAATGCTCTCAAATCAGAAATATGTTGGTAAGTTGTTGGTGAGAATAGTTGGAATTCAGAACATTTTAGATTTCAGATCTGCAGGTGAAGATTACTCAACTTGCATCCGCTGTCTTCACTTTGTGTGTTGTTTTGTTCTTTCTTGCAACTCTTAGTTCTTAGATGTGTATGACACTGGAATAGCCTTCTATTCATTCGTTACATATATTTTGTTAACCATCGAAGTTTTACTCCTGCTTATATTCCAAGTAACCTTGAAAGAATGTAGAACTCTGAGTGTGTGTATGTTTTCCTTTTAAAATAGTGTGTGAAGGGCTGGAGAGATGGCTCAGTGGTTAACAGCACCGTCTGCTCTTCCAGAGGTCCTGAGTTCAATTCCCAGCAACCACATGGTGGCTCACAACCATCTGTAATGGGTTCTGATGCCCTCTTCTGGTGTTTCTGAAGACAGGGACAGTGTACTCACATACATAAAATAAATAAATAAATCTTTTTTTTTTAAAAAATAGTGTATGAAAAGATGTAAAGGAAGGAATGGTTCCTAGAATCATCTTTGAAGATACTGCAGATACTCTTTGGAAATTCTTTAGCATATAAAAATTTCCATCAATATTTTCCTCATTTTAAAAGTATGCAAGAGTCCGGGGATATGTCTGAGTGGTAGAACATTTACAGCAGGTGCAAGGAAAAGGAGGAGGAGATGGAGGATAGAGGAGAGGAGGAAAAAACTGCAAAAACCTACTACAATATTACAAAATTTGAACTCTTCTATAAAAGCAGAAAAGAAAAACTTTCTATATGAGTGGCAGCAGAGAAAAGAGGGGCAGGTTTTCAGGACAGCCATTATTTACCTGCCAGGCAAGCTTAGGGAAGATTGAGAACATCTCCAGGCATTAATAGCTTGATCGTGCTGTGGTTTATTTTATTATTATTATTTATTTATTTACCTATCTATTCATTTATCTTTTTGAGACAGGGTTTCTCCAGTAACCTGGAACTCACTCTGTAGACCAGGCTGATCTCAAACTCACAGAGATCTGCCTCCCTGTGCTTCCTGAGCGCTGGGATTAAAGGTGTACGCCACCACACCATCTGGGCATGGGCCAAAATGTGCAATTCTTGAGATACATATTTAGTTTTTTTTTTAAAGTTCTAATTTGTTGTAAAATAGTCAATTTTGAGGACAGGCATTTCTTTTTAAGTTATTGCCATAGGTTTTTGCCAGGCAATAAGTATATTTTATTGCTAAGATTAAAGGTCTGAATATGTATGTATTGATTATATAGAGAGTTCTTCAAATGTTTTTTAAGCTACTGATGTTTTGTCTTTATGAAATTATATAAACCATTGAGATTCTTTTCTTTTTATGTGTCTTTAGGAACTAAGTCCTTATATTCGTCAACAGTCAGGTCCTGTTTGTGTGATGTTTTAGCGTATTGAACTGACTCTCCACTTTCTCTTTCTTCAACAGAGATGTGCTCCCGCATCTATCCGCCTCATGGACAACCAGCAGTTTCAGTTTGGTGAGTAAAGAATGGCAGTTTTAAAATGTGCTCAGTTAGCTCCAGAGTTTTCAGAGAAGTATGGAGCTTGCCATGGTGCTGTCCTTCCCAGGGCTCTCAGCCTAATGAGGGCTCACAGTCTTGAAAGAGAGTGCCCCAGTGGAGGAGGGCTGTGGACAGCACAGGTGCTTGGGTTGCTGGGGAAGCTATGCTTCATTCAGGGAGCTTTCTCAAGGTGGAAGAGGAACGTGAGCAAGGGCTTCTGTAAGAGGCAGCACTTGATCTAACTCTTAAAGGGGAAATGGAGGTCTGTGTGAGTCTTGTACCCTACCAGACTTGGTCCCTTGTTGGCAAAAGCTGGACTTGTGAAAGTGCAATAGCATGATTTAGAGTGTTCCAAATATTTGTGTGGATATTATCCTGTTTGCGGTGGACTTTCTTTGTGGAGGGGGCATCAATGTTTTTGCCTTAGAAAGCTCTTTCTGACGAAAGGTGAGTTAGGAGGAGCTGGACTGAAGGTAAAGCTTCAGGTGGGGTAGCAATAGAGTGGCCAATCTGAAGTGCCCGCGTGGAGTGGCAGCAGAGGAAAAGGGGCAGTTTTCAGGACAGCCATTTACCTGCCTGGTGACAAGCTTATTGAAGATTGAGACCATTTCTAGGCACTAATTGGTTGATTGGCAGTAGGGTTTTGGAGTTACAGTGGATTTGGGGTGTTGCTGGGATATTTGAAATAACCATGCCCCTGGGTTGGCTATGACATTTTTGTTTGCTTTCTTTATTGGCATATAGTTATTGTACATTGTGTTGGCTTTCATAATGAGAATGTCTTTCAACTATGTCATGTTTTGACCATATGTCATATATTCCTCCCCTCTGGCCAACCCTTTTCCTCTTTAGGTTATAGCATTTTTAATTCCTTGGTATCCATTGAAGATTCTGTTTGTATATTCTCTCATGGCTTCATGATTAAGCAATTAAAAGAGTAATTCTTAACACAGCAAGTATTATCCAGTATCCTGCACCAGCCATGTTGCTGATTGATGAATGTTTATGTCATAGTGGTTAATGAGGTATAAGGCTTATTAGTAATTATAATATTTTTAATTTTTTTATTTCTTCTGGTTCAGCCCTTAATACAGTATACTGAAATTGTCTTTTCTTGTTTGTTTGGTTTTTTTTTTGTTTTTCGAGACAGGGTTTCTCTATGTAGTCCTGGCTGTCCTGGAATTCACTCTGTAGACCAGGCTGGCCTCGATCTCAGAAATCCGCCTGCCTCTGCCTCCCAAGTGCTGGGATTAAAGGTGTGTGCCACCACCACCCGGCGTCTATTTTCAGTATATTGACATGATCTGCATATTTACTTTATGGATGAGGCTTCTCAAACTTAAGGAATAGTTATATGTTTCTATATCTCCTGCCCTTATCACATATCATACATTTGGGTGTTGGTTAAATTAATCATTGAACTGGCAAAATGGAGTGAACAACTCCTAGATAGCTATAGCACAACGCTGAGCACATTGATAATATCATGATTTCTCATATGCCACCTTTTAGCTGCTCTCCATGGTGATGCATCTACGTGCTGTGAGTGGTAGAGTTGTGATCAAACTCAGTTTGTCTGATTCCAAAGCTCTATGCTTAGCTGTGTCAGATCGCTTCAGAAATACATTAACAAATCCTTTTAAATGAATTAACATAGTATCATGAAATTGATGCTGTATGCTAATCAATGCTAATTATACTTTCTGATGAAGAAATTTAGAAATTATATATTTATTTATTATAAAGACAAAGTACACTAACCAAAATATATTTGCCATATAATAGTTTGATAGGCAACAGTAATTTGATGAAAAAAAAAGATAATGATGTCTTCAAGTTGTTATTAGTGGTTGACCCATCTAAATTAGTATCACTTTTATAATAATTGATTTAATTCAGTATTATGGATCGATGTGGCTGACTCCCGTCATTGTAAGGTAAATGATGCCAATCAGTCTGTAGATGAAGGTGATCATATATCCTTAAAGATTATTTACACAGGATTAGTGACATTTGGAGTTCTCATGCATTGTATAAAGATAAATAGATTTGAAGACTTGTATAAAGCATAATTTAAGTCTTTTGAAAGAAAGGCATACTCAGTACTTTAGTGGTACTGGTGATAAAAGCTAGGCTTCAGGCTTGCTAGGCAGACATTCTACTACTGATTCTACTACTGATTGATATCTCAGCCCTCTTTTTACTTTTTGAGGCAAGATCTCAAGTTGCCCAGTCTGGCCTTGAACTCAGTCTTAGTCCAGGTAGGCTTTGAACTTTAAATTCTTCTGCTTTATCCCCTCGAATATCTGAGATTACAGCCCTGAGCCCCCAGGCGTAGTTCAACATGTTTATGTGTTTAATGTCTGTTACTAATACAGTGTGGGTCCTAATTGGAAAAAGAAGTGAGCATTCCAATGATGTGCCATTTCCAAGTTTCTAGATGCTAAAGTTGTTTTTTAAAAGCATAATTATCCTGGAGAAACATTTATTTTTATTTATTTATTTATTTTAAAGATTTATTTATTTCACTTATATGAGTACACTGTAGCTGTCTTCAGGAACACCAGAAGAGGGCATCAGATCCCATTACAGATGGTTGTGAGCCACCATGTGGTTGCTGGGAATTGAATTCAGGACCTCTGGAAGAACAGTCAGAGCTCTTAACCACTGAGCTAACTCTCCAGCCCCTGGAGAAACATTTATAAAACCTTTCAGGAAAGAAGAAGTTCCTAAACAAATGAACATTTGATTCGGGCTCAGAAACATTGCTGAGTTGGTCTCTGTCCACCCTGTAGTTCATTTTCTCTGTTTGCTAACCTTGTGGGTCTGTCTTTACTGTCTCAGCTGTAGCAGGGGTGTCTCTTAGTCTCTGCATAAGACCTAGTTTACCGAGTCTTTTGTCTAACCTTGTTTCCTCACTACAATTAGCAAAAATGTAGCAAGTAAGTATTATATATACTTAAAAAATAGATGGATTGGCACAAAAGACTGGCAGTGATTGTTTTAGAAGTTTGCATTTGCGTTTTTTAAAGGAAGATCTTATACTTCAGAATCCTCAACCTAAGAAGACTAGAAAAAAACTTTATTTGAAGATGATTTTAGGTTTGCTAAGTACTTGAAGATTCTTTTAAAAAATTCTGGCATATTTTTCTGAATTGGGCTCATAGCACTAAGGCCAGATGTGGGAGTTGACTGGAACCATCCCCAGAGCTGAGAAGTTGCTCCTCTTTGAAATGATGAGAAAACAGTAGAAAGTTCTCATTCAATTAGGCTTAATCTGCAACAGCGATGTTAATTGAGCAGGCTCTGAAATGCTGTTTGTGTTATTTTGGCAATTTTAACTCCCTGAGTGTGATTAAGGAAGCAATTGCTAGTTTTATGCTAAGAATTCTGGATGACTTAAGAATTAATTAAGAAACAACTTTAAACTTTACATGGATTCCATATTTGATTATAGTTCTGTGTGGTTTCTGTATAATTAAAAAAAAAATAGCAAAACCAGCCACTACTGAGTGTTCTTAAAATAAAAATTAATGAGGTGGTTTTATTTTATTATGTGTAAACCATACCATTGAAAGATAACTGAAATTATGTATAGTATTAGTTGCATGTGGTAATTTGACTGAAAAACAAACACTGTCACATTTGAAAGAATGTAGAGGTAAAATATCTTAATAAACATCCATATAACTTACAACTATGAAAACTTGCTTTCCTTAGGATACTAAATTAAAGCCATCTTTTCATCTCAAAACCACATAGTTTCCTATTAATTTAAACTGTAAACTTTTCCCTTTCTAGGTCATGCTCTTAAACCTCAGGTCTCCTCTATTTTTACATCATTTTTGGATGGATTAAAAAAGTTTTATATTACAAAGGTAAGACTAAAAAAAAAAATCTAAAATAATACATGTATAGGACATGAGTTTTTTTCTTGCCTTCTCGCCATACTTACCTCCCCAAAGGCTTTTTTTCCATGTTGTGTTGTGTTTTATGTTGGAGCAGGTATGTTAGCAACGGAACTGTGCAGTCAGTTTCAGATGCCTTAGTTTCTTGCTCTCAAATCTGAACACAGTCCTGCTTTGAGCAGTCGCAAGCTGGCCACATTTTCTGTAGTTTGAGTTTTTTTTTCTTTACAGTTGTACTGAGAAGTGAAATGAGGGTATGTTCATTTACTCATTTTTCCTTTGATTCCTGAGAATTTGAAAGAAAGTTGTACTAGTGTGTATCTCGATGGCAACAGTGTGTGTCAGAGTATACCACTGTGACAATATCATGTCATTTTGTTGTGGCCATGGGGCTTTGTTATTATTTGGCTTAATTGGGTAATATTTCTTGAAATACTAGAGAGATTGAGCCAATCTCTGCCTCTGTCTTGTGTAAATTAGTTAAATGTTGTTCTTGTGTTAGGGACAGTAACTTGTTTTTTCACTGTCTTTTGATACAAACTCTTTGAGTAATGGAATTATCAGGTGCCCTTTGTGTGGATTTTGTAAATAGTGTTTTTTTCCCCCCCAATCAAGCACCTCTTTTTAATAGGTTTTTTCTTTTTGATGTCATGGATTCAAATTTATGTATTTTCTTATGACTGAACACTTCTAAGCTGAGAAAAAACTTTCTAGTATGCTCAGGGACATGTCAGTCTTCCATCCCCATTATGTTCTTGGTTTTGTTTGTTTGTTTGTTTGTTTTGTTTTTGTTTTGTTTATTTTTTGTGCTGACAAAAGCTGTCATACACTAAGCAAGAGGTCTACCATTAAGCTGTATCATATACCTTCCCTGGTTTAATGAACAGTTAAAGGTTTTTGTTGTGATTGGGTTTTGTGGTGGTTGTTTTTTGTGCCTTTTTTGTTTATTGTGTGTGTTGTTTTTGTTTTATTTTGATCATTTGCTGTTTGGCAAAGATCTAGATCGATCTTCAACCCCTGTTCCCTGTTGCTGACCCTTGTGTCAGCACTAGTGATTGTGACTAATGCCTGCTTCTTTTTACATTGATGCCTAAGGCATCTGACATACAGTGCTGCCCGAGAAGACACCACTTTGATATGGTTCCCAATGTTTTGTAACAGTGTCTGTTTTGGTTTTGAAAAGTTAAAAAGATATAATCTTGGTTTTTTTTCTTTTATTATTTGGAATTTCCTTTGTTGCCACCATCACATGTTTGTTCATTATTCTAGAAAAATTTTAGAGATTTGTACTTTTCAAATGACCACTGGGATTTTTATTATAATTGGAATATTCTAGTGTATCAATTTGGACAAGAATTGGCAAGTTTGAAATAATTTATGCAACCAGGAGCATCTGTGTTATTTTTTTTTTCTATAGTAAATTTATATATTTCTCTTTAAAATTAGTTTTGGTTCTTTGCACATACAAAGTCTTTTCTGTCAATGTTATATAATGTGTCATGGTTGGTTTGTAGAGATGTTGTTAGCTCCAACCAGCTGCTTTGCTCTACTGTTTAGTAATTTGTGTTTTGTTTTTTCAGTTACAGTTAAAGTTCTGGCAGGTTACCTGTTGTATTACTATATCAGTAGGTATTTATAATTCCAGGGTATATTTTGAAATATGTATTTTGTACACCTCAGTTTCTTGTGTTTGTTTTTGTAGTGCTGGGCATAAAGCCCTGGGATTTATGCAGGCCAGGCAAGTGTTCACCAATGAGCTGTTCTCCTGGCAGTCAGTACCCGCATCAGGCATTCTTGTTAATGGATGTGTAAAGCTTCAACGCTCACTGTTTAGCAGGCTGCTGTAATTGAGGCCAAATCAGAAAGAAAAGAGCTAAATGTATTTTCATTTACTGTTTAACAGAGGCTAAGGCTTCCCTGTAATAATAAAATTTTATTTTATATTTTGTAGTTTAAAGGATTTGATCCAAATCAAATAAGTGTAGCCACATTACTGTTCGAAGGAGACCGTGAGAAGGTTCTTCAGCACGAAAAACAAGTGTATGACATCGCAGCAAAATTTGGGTATGGCTTATAGTTCATAACCAAGAGGAAGTATGCTAAAAGTATGGTGACTTCATACAGACTGCATATGCCAGGACTTCTAATTTGAGTTAGCTATTAATCTTAATTATGAACATAAGCTTAAAAACTTTTTTTTACTCAAAAATTTGTAGGAAGAGTGATTTGTTGCTTTTACCTAATTTATTTATTTATATATATAAATAAAATAAGTGCATTTGTTATATAATGTTAAATTTGTAGGAATGTTGTGTTATTTTTACCTAATTTTACATATGTAATGTATATGTGTTGTACAATGCTAAATATTTTGCTTTTCTTAGATTTTATCATGAATGACAAGTTTGTGATGTGTTATTTGTTGTGTAAGAATGAGACAAAATTGTCAGGTTACTAGTTCATGTATAAAGCTAGTCGTTTTCAAAAGGAAATTATGTTTAGTCTGTGGTATTTGATAAATTATCTATACTCCACCCCCTGTCACTTACTGTTTTATGTTGGTATAAAGAAACAGAAAGCACTTCGAATCTATAATGAACTGAATAATGACAGGGTGGTTTCTGTCTGCTTGATGGATTATATGACTGATGGGCGAGAGCTCAGTGGATCTACCATTTGTCAGGGCTGCGTCCCCCTCCCTTCTCAGGTGCAGGAGCCAGCAGTCTCTGACCCAGCCTTTCCATTTGTCCAGGGCAGACCTATGTTAGGGCAGACCTAACATTAAGCTAGCTCTGAACTCTGTAAACATTTATCTTTCTTCCATTCTTTTTGTCTCTTAAACTCATTTGAGTTGGGAGATAACTGCTTTCCAGTGTCCCGGTTTGTGTTTATGTTAACTTAGCTCTTTATGTCTATGACTGTTTGAAATTAGTATTAAAATGAAATATTGTCTTAGAGTGAGAAATAGTCTAATGTTAGATTTACTTTTTACTGTCTTTGGTGCTGTCTTTGACACCCATATAAGGGCGTCAGATCTCATTAAGGATTGTTGGTAGCCACCATGTGGTTGCTGGGATTTGAACTCATGACCTCCTGAAGAGCAGTTGGTGTTCTTAACCACTGAGCCATCTCAGCAGCACTAATTAGGGCATTGTTAATCGGTCCTTTATTTCCTTTCTTTTTTTGTCTTGTGTTCTTATTGCTCATTATCTAAACTTGTTTTTAAGTGGGATCCTCCCATCATGTAGAATGTTTTATCTGTTAATGTACTCAGTCGGCCTCCTTTTACCCGACTCCAGCACTATTGAACATGTCTCAACAACCAAGACCCAATGGACGTAATAGCCAGATGCTAAAGAGCCGGCCTTTGATTGTTTATCCATGCTTGCTGGTAAAATACTTGTACTCCTTTAGGAGCTGAATAAGCATCACCTTTCAGTAGTCAGGACAGACACTTTGACATTTCCCTTGGAATTTAAGGCAATACCTTATTATTTTTACAATGTTCTTAAGTTGTTTGATATATTTCAGCACGGGAGTGATTAGTTTGGCCAAATGGCCCTTCAACATACAATGAGAGTCTGGTTTTCCTCTCCATTAAGCTACTTACTCCTTCTTTAAATATGTTTAAGAACCTTCTGAATTGATGTTTGAAATGTGTGAGAATAAGAAGTCGTCGATGGACGTTCTACGTAGTAATAAAGCAGTTTGAGTGTACCTATATTTTTTTTTGAATGGCTGCAAAATTGACAGTTTAAAAACATTACATTTCTTAGTTTTGTGATTGTTTATATATTGTATCTTTCTTTGGTTTTGGCTAAATTGACAATTCTGAAACATCAACAACAACAAAACAAACAAATGAAAAAAAAAAGAGAGGAAAGACTCCAAAAGCTAAATTTGCTAGAAAAATTATGATTATATAAAGTTAAGCCCAAATTGCCTTTTAGTTGTTTTTCAGGGCTTATGGATATAGGATGGATGTCCAGTTACAGAGTTTTTAAAAAATTGTTGTTATTCCTTCTTCTGATTTTTAAATTTTATTTAACATTTTTATTTATGCTTGTGTGTGTCCAGTATGTATGTGGACTTGGTGCCCACTAAAGCCATGTGTCAGTTTGTCTGGAGTTAGAGTTACAGGTGGTTCTAAGTGACACAGTGTGGGTACTGGCAGCCACACTCTAGTCCCTTCCAAGGGCAGCAAGCTCTCCTACCTCCTGAGCCATTTTTCCAGCCCCGTCAGACTTTTTAAAAAGGCATGTTTTTACGGATATGTTTCCTCACTGGATCCTATCTAGTGAAGTAGGCAAGTTTGCTCCCACCACATCCTCTTGCTCACTTTGTTCAGAGGTTCTCAGCACAGGTGTTTTGCAGCATCTTCCGGGCTTCACATTCTTTCCTCTGTACTACCAGCTCCTGTGGGAACTGCTTTTCTCCCTAGCTCTGTACGGTTTCTTCTCATTTAGCCTCAGAGCCTGACTTCGTTTTTGGTGTCTACTTAAGCTAGGAGCTTATCTGCATCCCTCTAAGTACTTGACACAGTAATTTTGTGGTTCTAGAACTTTGTCGCTCTGCCTCAACCTCACATCCAACCCAGAATTAACTTTTTGCTTTGAGTCATTTGACTTGAGCTGTATATTGCTGGTTCGTTAGCATTGTAATTATAAAATGTCCTTTGTGGGTCTGTTAGCTGGCGTGGGTCCTGTTGGGCGGAGTTGTTCCCTGTGTCTGGCCCCAGGCGGTTGGCTCTGGGGAGCAGAAGCGGGGAAATTTGACTGAGTTCCTTCCACTCAGTGGCTGGGTGGACTCTGGGCTAAGAAGCCACTCGAGGCTCCACAGGGACGTTGAGAGATCTCAGTCTGAAGTTCCGCAGGGGCAGGGCTCCTGAGTGGACCTGGAGGCCGGTGGTCTCCGCTCTTGGGCTCCCAGATGCCACTGGGGGCCAACGGCCGCTGGGGGCCGCTGAAGAACAGAGACGCAGAGAGGAACGAGGGGAGAGAAGGAAGCCCCGACAGCACCCTGTGGGAAGGAGACTCTTGGTTACTGCACTCGCTTGGCTAGCTTGCTTGAATCGGTGGCCTCCAGGGTGAGAACTCAGAGAAGTGGAGATTAGGCCGCAGTGGCTGTGGCGGCTCATTAGTTAAAGGCCTTCTCCACAGTTCTCCACGGCGGGGCCCCAAAGACACGAGGAAGTCTATGGGTTTAAGAGATTTATTGTCATGGCAGAAGGTAGATGAATCTGGCTGTAACCCCCCCCCCACCCCACCGCACCACCAGAGTAGGCCTTTGGTTAAATACCGTTTGTAAGGAAGAGGGTCTGGGAAGGAATACTTAGGGCTTTAAGGTATCTCATTAATATGGAAATCTCTTGAGGTTGAGGCCTGTAGTCACGCCCTCTACCTGTGGAGGGGCTGGTAGGGGCATTATGACTGAAAGGCACTGATCAAAGGTCTTGGCGGCATGTCAGGAGCCTGGAGTCTGAGAGCATAGTGAAATGTATACCATCCCTAGCAGGGTCTCCGGCCATCTCTAGCCAGTGCTCCACTAGAAACCAAGCCATCCTTTCATGCTTCCATAGTTCTTCATTTTGCCCTAGTCTTAAGTGATTTTAAAATTTTAAAGAACTGCCCTGTCAGTTCTTTGCATCTTCGGTTGATTCTGGCTAGATTCTGAAGGCAGATCCCTTCTGGATGTCTTTAATTTTTGTATAATCACTTGTAATTGTGGATTTAAAAATCTAGGAAATTCTGTTTAAGCCTGAGTTCTAGCTGGAGACTGTCTTAAAATATTCATGTAGAACAACTATGTATCATTATGTACTATGTCCATCAAGTCAAACAAAACTTAGGAAAAAAATCAAGCCAAACAAAATTCAGGGGAAAAAATAATTTATGTAAAAATGTCAATTGAGACTATAAGAGAAGTGGTTTTTCTTTTAATTAACTAAAATGAAATAAACTTTTAACTTTTGTCTGATAATTGAAAAAGTATAAATAAAATCTGCTTTCTGGAGGTAGTAGAAAGCAGTATTCATTGACTTATCTTTTTAAAAGCTTTACAGTTATTTATTTTGTTTTACTTTGTTATGTATATGAATGTTTTGCCTACATGTATGTACCACATGCAAACCTTGTGCTCATGGAGCATAAGAGAACATCAGGAGCGGAAGTTATAGGTGGTTAATAAACAGCCGGCGCTAGAGTTGTAGATGGTGTGAGCCACCAAGTGATGGCCGGGAACTAAACCCTGGTCCTCTGTAAGAGCAGCAAGTGCTCTTAATTACTAAGCCATCTCCAAAGCCTCATTCATTGTCTTTTAAAATAAGAACTTTGGCAAACCAGAAAACTAGGATGGGATTTTATGATGTGTAAATCAATTTTAACCAATTCACCTAACATTGTTTCTCTGGATAAAACAATTCAGATTGAGAGTTACTTTGTACATCATAGATTAAGATCTGAAGTGCTGGTCTGTACATGTCTGCATCTGCAGTATGAACTTTAATACTTCCATGTGTCTTGTCTTCCATGAACTAAATATCACGTGTTTGGGGACTTCTTGTTGTCACCAAGCACACATTTTAATATATAAGACTGTGTGAGTATCGGAATAAAAATCTGATGATGGTTCAGGATCTCTCATGTTAGGACCAGGTGTGTTTCTGGTTTTGGAAATTTTCAGATCCTGAACTATTTTCTATTTATTTAGTGAGGTATCTTGAGGATGAGCTATGTGTTTAACCCTAGCATTGATTTGTCCACTTTATATAAATAAATTGAAGTTAATTTTATACAGCATTTCTGGTATACCTAGTTTTTATGCAGCCTTCTGGGTAAAATCCATCTTGAACTTGTCCATTGTGGCATTCTATTAGCAGCAGATTGTTTTGAACTTTGTAGCATCTCAGATTTCAGATTTTCAGATTAGGGGTACTCAACTGATATGCATAAAATAGGGATAAAGCATCTTGTTAGTTTTGTGAAGGCTAAGTTCATCTGAATTTATTTTATTACTTTCTTTCCTCTTTTAAGATATGGAAATATAGTTGAGATAATGAGTTCATTTAGCTTGGAGGATAAAAGTTTGAAGTCAAGTGACTAAGCAATAATATTTTTAAATGTTTTCAGATTTATTATTGAAGCTTATTCTCTTGATTACTGGTACATTCATGATTAATAAAATTAAGATAAAATAAGTATAGCATTAATCTGTTGAGCAGTTATTTTGGGATGTTGTTATCAGTTTGGCTTTTTAATTTTTATTTCTTCACCTAAAATATATTGATAATTTGTTCCTTATTTACAGTGGTCTGGCAGCTGGAGAAGATAATGGACAGAGGGGTTATTTGCTGACTTACGTCATTGCATACATGCGTGTAAGTTATATTTCTTCATTGGCTGTCTTAATTACTTTCCTATTGCTGTGACAAAACACCATGGCCAAGGAAGGCGTCTAATAAAAGAAAATGTTTAATTTAGGGCTTACATTTGCAGAGGATTAGAGTCCATGACCATTGTGGCAGGAAACATGGCAGCAGTCAGGCAGGCATGGCACTGGGAGCTTACCTCATTATCCACAAGTAGGAGACAGAGAGCAATAACTGGGAGTGACATGGGCTTTTGAAACCTGAAAGGCCACTCCAGTGATACATCTCCTCCAACTAGGCCATACCTCTAATTCTTCCCAAATAGTTCTATGAACTGAGACCAAGCATTCAAATATATGAGTCTATGGGGGCCATTCAAACCACCACATTGACTTAGGTTTGAAGTAGTAGGCTTTTTGTTTTTTGAATTTTTTGTTTGTTTTTGCTTAGAATGGATAAAATTGCCTTGTTTCCATAAGTCTTAAGCTACTGTAATTTAGTGTATTATTTTACTTGAACCCTGGGTTTACTGTGACTTTTCAGAAGCCTTTAAGACTTTTTGTATGTACTTTTGAGAAACGTAGGCAGTTCTTTCTGCCTTTTGAAAAATGGAGCCAGCCTCTGGCTGAAAGCTGAGTGTGTCTATTTTAACATTATTTGGGTTGGAGTCTAGGTGTCCTGTGTAGCAACAGTCTTCACTTGATTTATAATCCATCCTAAAGATTTGTAAGTTTTATCTTTCCTTTAAAAATTGTTATTTGATCCCAAGTAGTCACAGGTTCGCCAGTGGTAATGACTACAGAAGTAAGGAACTTGTGTGTTTGAACATACAGACTTTATCACTGTGCACTCTGTTTACAGAGGCTTCATTGTTTACACTTATTTCATGTCTATTGTGGTCACTGCTATAAAACCAGCCTTTTGATAATCTAAATTTTCATGTTCATTTATTTATTTATTTATTTTTGTTTTGGCTGTAACAGACTCAAGTTTTCTGACTGAATATTTATTTACTTATAAGATAATTTTGTAATTATATTTATGTACAGAAAACTTAGTATACATTTAACCCAGTTTAGTGGTGAGTTATTTAGTCTTTGCCTTTTCCAGCTTGGCAATGCGAGTCACAGACTTAGGACCCAGGACATTGCCTCCCCAGTGGCAGCAGATCTCATCATATCTGTCATTATAATTGCTCCTAATAGCTTCCACCAGCTTAGCCAGAGCACCCTTGTCTTCCGAGTTAACCTGTGTGAAGGCAACAGTGGTGCATGTCTTCCTGTGGACCAGGCACCCCAGCCTGGCCTTTCCCTTGACGATGCGGTAAGGTAGCCCTATTTTTGACACAAGGCAGGCAGGAAAACTATCAGCTCAATGGGATCTACATCATGGGCAATCACCACCAGCTGAGCCTTCTTGTTCTCCACCAAGGTGGTGAGTGTATTAACTCCTGCTTGGAGGACAGGTGGTCTCTTAGCTGGGACGTCCCCTTTGCCAGCAGCTTTCTTCTCAGCACAGGCCAGTAGCCTTTGCCTCTTCTCTTGCTTTGTCTCTGGCCTGTACTTGTGGACAGGCTTAAGCAGCTGAGTAGCTGTTCGCCTGTCCAAGGCCTGGGTGAACTGGTTAATGGCAGGACGTACTTTGAGCCGCTTCTAGAGGATGGCTCTTTGCCGCTGCAGCCTGATGTAGCTGGGCCAGTTGATGAAGTGTGTTAGATCTCTTTTGGGCTGGATGTCCTGCCCAATGCTGAGGTTCTTGGGCCTTTTCTAGAAAAAAGGATTGACCACCTTTTTGGCCTCCTGTTTCTTGACGATGACGGGGGCCTGGCCCACCTTCTTCCCCTTGGCCTTCTTTCCTTTGGGTATCTTACTCCGCTGGAGAAGAGAGCTTACTTATTTATTTTAAAGTTTAACTCTTAGTAATTTTAATGATCTTATCTAAAAAGATGTGTTAGAAGCTGTAATGAGAATTTGACTTTCCCAAGCAATAAATTTTCTAATTTTCTAGTTGGAAATTGTTTTGAGGGAAACATTTATAAAAACATACATAATTTTTCGTTGTTGTTGTTCTCAAAAAACGCAGTGTTTTCATTTCAGAGTAATTGAGTCCTAATCAAGGTCCTCCCTTCTTCCTTCCCTCCTTCCCTCCCTCTTTTTCCCTCCCTTCCTCCTTCCTTCCCTCTCTCTCTTTCTTTCTAGTTAGTTAGTTAGCTAGAGTTAGTTTTGGTTTTTGTTTTTTTGGGAGACAGGATTTCTCTGTGTAGTCCTGGCTGTTAGGGAACTCATTCTGTAGACCAGGCTGGCCTAGAACTCAGATCTGCCTTTCTCTGCTACTTAAGGGCTGGAAGTAAAGATGTGCAGAACCATACCTGCTATGTTTTCTAAATTTGTTTCTAAATAAAAGTTGATGTGAGGAAACTCCTACCTCTTGTTACCTTTACCTTGATGCTCAATTTTTATATTGGCTATTTTATCACTTTGGCCACTACAAATCTATTCTCTAATCTTTTCTACATACATATAAGCTTTTCCATGATAGAGACTCCATTCACTAAAGAAATATTTGAGTTTCTTTTCTGTGTCATATACTTCATATGCTGCTGAGTCTATGGAGAGCAACAGACAAGGTTCCTGTCTTCAGAGACGTCATGCCACACTTGGGAACTTTCCAGTGTTCTTATCAGATAAAGAACAGTTTAGATTAGATCAGAGATGCACTACTAATAACTTCCAGAGATTCTAGTGGTTTTATTAATTACTGTATCTTTTGTAATTTCATGATTTTTGTCTGTCTCTGCAGGATTTGGGTTTGGAATACTATGTAATGGGAGAATCTTTTGAAACTTCTGCTCCTTGGGACAGGTAAAATCTAATAAATGGATTCCTCTGATATACTTTATAATTGATACATGTATGTGGATATGCAATTTATCTGTGTGTGAATACGGAAGGTTTAAATTGTTTTATAAGAAACACTGAAAGAAGAAAGGTACTTTTGTTTAAATTAGTATATGAATACCATTGCTTTCACCCTTTTCTAGATTAAGATAAATTTGCTTGGAAGGGACCCAACAAACAAACCATATTAAAGTTAACATTTTGAAGACTCTTACTAAACACAAAATGCTGCTGTGTCATTTGGCTTCGCTTAGGTGATCATTGTACTTAAGTGTTCTTTTGAAGGCCTTCTCCCCGACCCCCAATTATTAATCCTCTTAGCTTTCTTCTATAATGTACTATTTAGCTTTGATATGTGTGTCTAGATTTAACAAGATCTTCACTTGTGTTTAAGTGATTTAAGAAAATTTTAAAATATTAAGTATAATTTCCATTTTTAAATTTAAACAAAATTTTGTTACTAAAACACATTGTAGAAAATGTCCTTGGTAATATGCATGGGAAGTATTATCTGGGTTTCTCTCCTGGAAACACACACCTACACCCACGCATACTCACACAGTGTAGGGAGGCAGTAATAAAAGCCGTGGCATGCTTTCATAAACATGGACTTTGAATTAACTTTCAATACTTGAGAAAGTCCTCAGTATATTTTATGTTTCTGAACATGCCTGCATTTTACCTTTGCTTTATAAAATGCATGAGCTCTTTTAAGGCGCTAGCGAACTACAGAGGCTGTAGCAGATCCTTTTGAATCCACTATTTAGCTATTAAATATTTAACATCTTGTTCTCCTCATACCTTATTTTTCCATTTGGAAAGCTTCTGTCTTTTCTTCACTATCTTAATCTACTGTGTACTTTGAGTTTTGGAGCACTGGTCATCATATTACAAGAATTGTTTTCAGACTGACGAGTTTCTAGGATCACTGTCATCGTGCCCCCCTCCCCTCAACAAGTGCAGACTTTTTAAAAAGAATTTTCAGACAGTCTATATGGTTCTGGCTGTCCTTGAACCTGCTGTGCAGCCTGAACAGAAAACTTGTGATCTTTTTGCCTCAGCCTCTGGTATGTATGGGCATGTACCACCACACCCCTGCTCTTTTTTAAAACAAAACAAAACAAAAAAACAAATTTCAAGGTACTTTTTTCACAAGGGGACTACATCTTAAAAAATAAAGAGTTGTCAGCTAGCCACTATTGAGCCTTTTGGAGCAATAGTTTGGCAGGCAGTGCTCCTGGGCAATGTTGTCATTGATGACTTCAGTCTGTCTTGTCTCTCCTTGTCTTAGTATGGATTGCCATAAACTAGCTGGCTTACATATTTTAAATGTAGATCTTTTTTCTCCTCACCTTGAAGTGCGATATCAGGGTGCTTGGATATCTGGGATGCTGTTGAAGGCCCTCTTGGTTTATGGAAAGTCACCTTGTGTGTCTTCATGTGGCTGAAAGCAAGCTTCTCATGTCATCTTCCTCACCTTCATACTCTCCCTCCCACATCAGTTTGATTTATTGGGACTTCACACTCATGGCCTGATTACCTTTGGAGGCCCAAGCCCCTGACTCCTAATAGACCATACCATCACGTGGTGTGAAGGGGAGGATTTCAGTCTGTGCATTTTGAGGTGGACTCAGACCTTCAGCCATTTGTCAGTGGAAAAACAGATTAGTGTAGTGTTACCTTTTTAGTGTTATAATTTTTTTTTTTACCTGCTAATGTTCTCTTATCTTTTTGTTCTTTTAACTGTAGAGGCCAGTTAGCTAAACAAATATGTGAATACATGAACTGATGAAGGAAAAATAAAAAAATGGCATAAGAAAACTTCATGTTGTATCTTTTCTAGGGTTATAGATCTGTGTAGAAATGTTAAAGAGAGGATAAGAAGGGAATGCAAAGAAAGGGGAGTTCAGTTTGCACCTCTTTCTACATGCAGGTGAGTTTCCACGCTTATTTATACTCATTCTGGAAAGTACTGCTTACAAACTTTACTGTTGTGTGGGTGGATATGTGTGTATGAGTTGTGCGTCTTGGGTGTGTGCGCCACAGTGTGCATGTGGAAGTCATAGGACTTCATGAAGTTGCTTCTCTTTCCCCGTTGGGTCTGGGTATTGAGCTCAAGCAGACAGGTGTGCATAGCGAGCACTTTTCTCCATGGAGCCATCCCAGTGCCCTTAATGGTTTTAAACAGTTGAAAATACAGTTTTCCAGCTAAGAAGCAGCTTTGGCCTGTTCCATGTGGCAAACTTCCTGCACGTCTCACATTGTTAGAATTGTGTCTCTCAATCCTTAGCCCCTGAGGCAAGGAACACTGGTTCCTGAGTGAGCTTTCTGCCCTCTCAGAACCATGGACAAAGGAATCTCTTTTTGTTCCTTGGAGCTACAAACTACAGCAGAGGCATAGAACTGTAAACGCAAGAAACAGTTTTTGTGTGCATGGGTGCAAGTGTGTGTGTGTGTTGGGAGGGGTGTGTAAACTTTTATGAAAGGAGTGAAAAACTCAAGTGATAATTAACTTGTTGCTTCCCAATAGATGTTTCTTTAATAATACAAATATTTTGTATTTTTGCCTTTAAGTTTGGTAGCCACAAGCTACACTGGTTAGTGAGTAACTGAAATATTGCTTGTGTGAAATTTAAAAAAAATCATTTTAAGTTTTAAAAATTACCTGTAATCCATATCTTCCATGTTGGATAATAGCTGGTTAACTGATTTTATCTTTTTTTTTTTAATTATTAAATAGAAAACCCAAAGGAAGTTTTTTTCTGAGAAGGGACCCTTTATATTTAGTTATAGTGTTAATTTTATATGTAAACACCATGTTACATGTGTCAAGACAAGATGAACATTTAACTCTCTAGAAAGGTATTAAAGTAATTTAAAATGGAGAATAAATGGCAATCAGAACAAATCATGAAAAGAGAACCTTAAAAAAGGATAACTCCAGCTGCCATTATCCACTGTGGAGCTGCCTCAGATTGTTACTGTGTATGTGCATCTGTGTCTGTTGAGGGGAACACTTCAAGAACACATCTTCAGTATTAGGGATACAAACTACTTAGAATGTAAAAGAATACAGTAAATGTAACTTGGAAGCAGTGTGTGTCTCTTTTAAGTGTAGCTGATATTAGACCTCAGGAGCAAGTGTACTTGAGCATCAGGCATTTCCTGTGTGAGTTTGTCTCCAGCTTACAATGCTTTTAGACTTTGTGATGGTGCTGAAGCACACCAACTCAGCCAGTCTTCTGTCACTCTCAGTCTAGCTATCAGTAATTACACATGCTCAGTACTGTTGGCTACTGTAGCTGTGCCAAGCATAATTGAGATCTGTTAAACTATGATTTTTGGTAGCTACATATACCCAGTGTATAACATTTTTACCTCACAATGAAATTTTTTACATACCTCTCTCATTAGTGCTTTTTTCTCTGATTTGTTTTATTTAATCTCATCCTGGGAAGTATGTTTGAAGTTTTGTTCTATCCCAGGAATCAAGGCAACATATTAGACAACTTTTGAAGATTTGGTATAAGACAGAACGTATCAGAAGAGTGGAGTTACTGGTCTGCTCATTAGTAAGAATTTAATCTCTTCACACTTTTTTTTTTTAATGACAGTTTTTTTATTATTTAAACTTTGAAGTAGGCCAAGGTTGGCTAGATCTGTTAGGTCCATCATACTTACTATAGACTTAGTGGTGTTTTTTATAAATGTGTAATATATTGATCCTAAATTTGTTGAAAGTTGGCTGTCTTAAAGTTTCCACTGCTGTAATGAAACAAAAGAAACTTGGGAAGGAAAGGATTTATTTCAGCTTACAGCTCTAGGGTGACACTTTATCACCGAGGGATGTCAGGGTAGAAACTGATGCAGGAGTGTTGCTCAGCCCTGTTCAGCCTGCTTTCTCACAGCATCCAGGACCACCACCAGCCCACAGTGGGTTTTCTCTCTCACACCAATCAGCAGTCAAGAAAAGGTACTACAGGCCAATCTGTGGAGCCATTTTGAGGTTTGATCCCAAATTACTAGAGTTACATTGATGTAAAACTAGCCAGCACAGTGGCAATGTTCTATTAAAATGGTTATATTTTCTATGTATCGATATCAATGATGTCCTTATGAGTGATGTATACTCTTAATTCCTGTAAGCACACTTTACTTATCTTTTAACTTTTTTTTTTAACGTGTTCTTTCTGATCACAGCACCTTACAGTTAAAATAGTTCTCCAATTTTCTTAAACTTGTAAATCTGGAACTTAAAATGTAAATGTTCAAAGGATCTTTTTTAGGAGTGTGAATTAACTCTAGAAGAAAAGCACAGCTGGCAAATTGATATAGCATTGTTAAACAGTTCATTTCTTCTGTTCTGAGACACCTAACATTTGGCCAAAAGACCATTACTGTTTTAGATTAGAGTCTGTTTGTATTGTGTAGTAAAAGTACTTGCTCCTTCTGTTAGATTGAGTCCGATGTGGTTTCTCCAGGGCTTGCTTTTGGAGATTTAATTGTGATTGTCCAGACTTCCTTTTCGTGTGTCCTAATTGCATTTTGAAAGCCCAGATATTGATTACATAGATGATTTAAGAATCTAACATCCTTGATATCTTTTGTATGTACACATATAACATACACATGGAGTCACAGACAGTACTTTAAGGTCATTCCATTGCAGTTGATCTGATCGTTTTTGTTTTTCATGTCCTTGCTATTTATTGTGAGCTCTGTGAGGAGGCTGTAGTTAAATCTGATCCTGTTGGGTGTTTGAACATCTCTCCTACTACTGAACTATATTTCTTTCTGTTAACTTTGGGATGTTTGGAAGACTTGTAACTTAACTCATCGCCACATTCCGTCAAATCTGTTTCTTCAGCTTCAGTATAAAGTGTTGTTTGTTTGTTTTAACTTTCAAGTAAGATGAATGTTTTGTTCATTTCAGATCAACTGGAAAAACATTTGTGGTGCTTTATTTATTTTTTTTTTAAACTTTGGAGGGATAATAATCTAGACTTGGAAGAAAGCTGCAGAATAGTAGAGTTGTGTTAGTTTCTTTTCCTGATGCTGTGATGAAATAATAAAAGCAATTTAAGAATGAAGATTTTAATTTTAGCTCACAATTCAAGATACAGTCCTTCATGGTGAGCAAGGCAAGGCAGCAGTGGCCTCCGGCAGTACTCATCCCGTCCACAAGCAGGAGACAGGATGCATACATGCTGCTGCTCAGTTCCAGGTCTCTACTTAGCGCAGCATCCTCTGCCCAGGGAACGGTCCTATCTGAAGGAAGATGATGGGTTTTCCTTTATTGGTTAACATGATCACAGAAATCCCACAGGCATGCCCAGAGGCACGTCTCCTAGATGCCTCTAGATTCTGTCAAGTTGGCAATTAGCAGTAACCATCACATTTTTATATACCCCCTGACTCATTTTTCCTTATGTGGTTACATAGTATGATTATAAAAGTGTAAAAACTAGTAATTTCTATTGTTGATTGACTACTAATGTGGTTTTTAAGTTGCATGAGTTCTTTATCTGTCTTCATATTCATCCAATGTCTCTATCTAGTATAACACAGACAGTACAATTACACTACTCGTGTTGTCAAGCTGTGTGCCCTTTTACGAGCCATTAAACTGAGAGTAGTAGAGTTGTCAGTATTCCTCACTTGTGTTCTATAAGGTGTCACGTATTGACTATAGAGAGCTTAGGAATTTCTTCTAACACATTTATACTATTATCTTTTCCCCCACTCAACTTCAATGATTTACTTTTTTCTGCCTCAAATTTCTTGATCCACAAGAGTCTAATCATATGACAACACATGGTATTACTATCAGAGTATCTATGAATTTTGCAGAGATGTTTGTGTTTTATCATCAATGTAGATTTTTTTAAAATAATGAAAATTAATTAAGTTCTTGGTATTTGCTTGTCTCTGTGTAGTTCATATTTCTGTTCCAGAGAGTAATGAATCAATGAAAGAACAAATTCTTTGTTTCTAATGTTGCCTTATGGGTGGTAGATGTTTTGTAGTATGTCTTTACTACGACGCTGTAAAATGTATCCATGTATATAGACTTGAACAGTACTAGTACTGTGCTTAAAATAATAAGATGAATGTAACAGGAAAAAATAAGTTAGTTTTATAGTTGGGATAAGGACGCTTTAAGTCAGGTTTTAGTTACTTGTTATTTTGGCTGTGCACGTTAAAGCAGACTGTATTTTTATATGTATACCTGACTATATTTTAAATGATTTCAGATATACTGCTTAAAATAAGGTTCTGTTTCTTGTAGATAACTTCAGTAAGCCCACTGAGAATGATTTTTTTGTAAACTATTAAATTTCATAAAAATTTCTCTGTAGTTGTGGTTACAGAAAACAGAATAACAGATTGAGCCATGTACTTGCAATTTAACCTCACATTTTAAATGAAAGAAAGCAAAGTCCTCTGTTTCCCACTACGTTCTTAGCGTACCTGTTCCGGCAGCAGCTGCAGAGGAGCTGACGGGCCCGTTCCCTGAGACTGGGAAGTCGAGTAGAGGATGAAGATGGCCTGGCTCAATTCCCAGCTGGTCTTTGAAATTTCTAGATGTTAAATCTGTTTTCGCTGAACTTAAAGCCCTTTTGGGGATTTTTATCTGTTTGTCTTTTAGGGTGACACAGACTTACGATGCAGGTGCATGTATCTACTTCTATTTTGCCTTTAACTACAGGGGAATTAGTGACCCACTGACTGTGTTTGAACAGACTGAGGTAATTTTGCATGTAGTTTTTATAATGTTCTTTTATTTAAATAAATTTTAGTTCTGACTTAGGAATTTTAGTTTGAGTCACCTTAGTCACACATGGCTTGCTTGGCTGCTAGCCCACTGAAATGAAAAGTATGTTGAGTCTACTGATGTACCTATCAAATTGTCAGTCTGAAATTAATGTTGTGTATTTCTGAAGCCCTTGTCTCTTTGGTTGTTACTTTCAGTGTGTTGTAGTCAATTAAATCACAACAGGAGCTTTTATGACTGTAGGGGTCTTTGATGTCTCTTTGGCAATCCGTGTGATAAGACTGTGTATAGGTCTTTGGAGTTTATCGATAACAGTTTCACTTACATTTCTTTAGTGGCCTTAAGCTACTGGTTTTTATAGACTCGTGGTGATGGCTATGCTCCTTGTTAGAAGCAGCATAGACTCCTCTACTAAACTGGAGGAAGCCATAGCAGGCGTGTCACTTAGACACACAGGTTGCCCTAGTGTTTTTAGTTGATTATGTGCCTGCCAATGATGTCTCTCATCCTCAGAAATTTAAGTATATTCTTTATGGATGTGTGTGTCTGTGTGTGTGTGTATGCATACAATCCCATACAAGTGGAGGTCATAGGATAACTTAAGGGGAAAGGCTATTTCTCTCTACCGTATGAGTCCTGAGGATAAAACTCAGGTAGTTGGGTTTGGCAGCAAGTGCCTTTGTGTACTGAGGGATCTCATCTGCCCACAGATTTGAGTATATTTGTATTTCCTTGGCCGGCCTATGAATATCCCTTGCTTAGCTAGGCATAATGGTACACACCTGTATTTTCAAGCACTAGGGAGGTAGAGGCAGGAGTACTGCAGCAAGCTTGAGTCAGCCTGGTTTGATGATCAAGCCAGCCAGGGTTATATAGCATCATCTCCAAAACCACAAACAAACGAAGCTTCTTTCTTGGAAACCACAAATTGAAATTCTATTTTCCCAGTTCTGTTACTCACTTAATTCTTGATCTCAAGGAGCTGTTTTATTTGAAGTGATTTATTAGAAATTAAAAGTTCTTGAGCAAAGGCTCGCATACTTAGGATTATATGGAAAACCTCAACTCCTAAGTCCTGAAGATTCCATAGAATACTTTGCTATGTGGTGGTGTTCATATGTTACACCTGGGTGGTCTTCTACATTAGCCACCATTAATTGGTTTCTAGACATGAGTACATCTGAGAAGCTCAAGGTACAGAAGATATTTATCTTGTGCCAATTAAATATTAATAAATCATTAAGAATAGAAAATGTAGCCAGGTGGTAGTGGCACATGCCTTTAATCCCAGTACTCTGGAAGCAGAGGCAGGTAGATCTCTGTGAGTTGGAAACTAGTCTTGTCTACAGAGAGTTCCAGGATATCTGGGGCTATATGGAGAAACCCTGTCTCAAAAACCAAGAACAAAACAAACAAAAAGAATAGAAAATATAATAAAATGTATGTGTGAAGATCCATAATAAAACCCATCACTTTGTATACTAACCTAAAATTTTTTTCAATTGAAAGTTAAAAGAGGATGAGTACTTAAGTAGGGAAGAGGGGAAACAGAAAGGCTCAAGGCAGCCCAGGTCCCATTGCCTTTCATTATGCATGTTATCTGTATTCTGTTTATCTTTTGACCCATGTGCACTCAGAAGGAATGTCAGGGCCTAGCACGTTAGGAGATTAAGCAAGGGACAAAGTGTAAGTTTGGGTTCTTTTTTCCTCCTTCCATCCTCCCCTACTTTTATTCCTCTTCAGTATGTATATAGAACTAACAAATAATTTATCCCATGTGATCGAACTAAGAGGTGCTCTCCCTAAGAGTGTTTATGGTTATATAGTGGAAATAAATGAAAGAGTTCAAGCAGATTGTTTGGTACCTTACAGGCATCCAGGGAGAAGTCAGTAAACATTAGTCACTCTAAAGTGAAATCCAGGTAGCAGTAACATTTTGTGTTCTTTCCATTTATAGGCAGCTGCTAGAGATGAAATCCTTGCCAACGGAGGGAGCCTGTCACATCATCATGGAGGTATTTTTAAAGGGGGCTGGTATAGAATTTCTAATTCTCCTGCTTTTTAAAATATTTGGCCCAATAAAAAGCCGGGGAATATCATCACATGACTAATTTGAGAGTACTTGAGATTCGGAAACATTTTTATGTGTTAGAATAACTGATCAAAGTAGGTAGATTATGTTATACCCAGAACGCCTGGTTTGATAGCCTACCTTAGTATGAAGTCTATCAGCTTTCCTAATTCTCAGGACCCTCATGATAATAGAGAGCAGATTACTTTACCTGGGAGGTATTTGACTGTTACAGCCAAAGCTTTAAAGAAAAGAAAGAAAGACAAAACCTTTTCAGTCTTTTCCAGCCACTGTTGGAATGAGAATACATGAACATCAGTTGTATGTATAGTGAAAGGTATTTGTTCTTTCTACACTTTAGCACATTAATCAACAAATAGTCGATCCCATGTGATCAAACTAAGAGATGTTTTCCCTAAAACTGCCATTATTAAAATTGTAATTTTGAGATTATCTCCAGATTATCTGTAACAGAAACTTGTTACAGTATATTTCTTCCTGTAATTTTATATGCTTAAGAAAACTACAAATGTAGAGATTAAATATAAACTTAGGGAGATACATGAGGACAAATAATCACCTACACATTAAACCCTTAACCTGTCCTGAATACCTCTTGTCCTTTTTGATTCCCCTCAGAACTATATTATCTAAAATGCTATGCATTTGTGTTTAAGTCATATGCATTTGCTTGCTGGGAAGTTGAGGTCCAGGAAGGCAATGATTTTCTTCTGTATGTTGCTTTATACTGAAATCAAGAACTGTTCTAGTACTCAGCCTCTGCATGTGTGTGGAGAGATAATGGAAGAATCCTGGTGGAAAGGGGGTATACTGTAGAGTGCCTGTCTACACACAACATCCTTATAGGCAGGGCTGGAGACAACTGATGATATAGGTGAATGAGATGCAAGATAATTCTGGCACTGCAACATCAGCTTCATCTTTAATGCTATCTTCTTAACCTTCACAAGAAAGTTGAGTAGGTTGTCTAATGAATATTAGAGTGGATAAATTAATCCTTTGCCTCCTTTTCCTGGATATATTCTTTCCTTTAGAAGTCCTTCCTTCCTT